CTGCGAAATCCATTCAAATAGCGTCAATTAATCTGAATAATACATAGACATTTCTAGCACGTAAATTGTATCTTTGACCCGTTTCGTGTGCGCTTGAGTGAAGCCGACTTTGTGGCTGACCCCCCCCCCCCCCCTCAACCTGGGATTTCTTATTAAGAGAGGTCACCCCTGTGTTCCCGAGGATAATTAGTTTTGGTATCAGAAAGTGGACAGCTCGTGTAACAACATGATCAAATATTTCACACTTTACATTGACGTGTTACACTGTCCATTATGATAAGCACTAGGTCGTACCACTAGACTTCTAGTGCGTAGAAAAGATTCCCTAGTGTAGTTTGGTCCCAAGAAAAATTGTCCTTAACTGTGGTTTGGAGACCCCTGCACTAGAGTGTCCAGCGCCACACTGTCCATTATGATAAGCACTAGGTCATACTACCAACGCCACACTGTCCATTATGATAAGCACTAGGTCATACTACCAACGCCACACTGTCCATTATGATAAGCACTAGGTCATACTACCAACGCCACACTGTCCATTATGATAAGTACTAGGTCGTACCACCAGCGCCACACTGTCCATTATGATAAGCACTAGGTCATACTACCAACGCCACACTGTCCATTATGATAAGCACTAGGTCGTACCACTATGATAAGCACTAGGTCATACTACCAACGCCACACTGTCCATTATGATAAGCACTAGGTCGTACCACTAGAGTGTCCAGCGCCACAGTGTAAACAATACTGCAGGCTGTCATAGCCGTAACCTTAACGCAATTATGTTTCTAGACCTAACACTAACAGAGACAAAAACAACGTTATACGGAGTCCGATGCTGTATTTCCGGATAAGTACATCTACCTCGGACTGGAATCCCCAGGGAAGAAGGAATGTCGGCCTTCCTTAGAGGAGACAAAGACCGCGGGGCTCACGTGGGCGAAGGTAAGGATAACTGTCCAAAACCAGGTCCAGTGCAAATGTGTGAATGCAGACCCTGGCTCCCCAGGGGTCACATCTACAAACCCCACCCCCATATTATTAAATCAAAACCTTATCAGGAGGAGTTAAATCTCTCACATAAACTGCTCAGTGTTTAACTCAGACTTTTCTCATGTTTCTAAATATAAATAAACGCCTTCCAATTCTTATTTTTAATGTCTTTTCCTGTTATTTCAAAATATATCAACTTTAATATTTGTTCCAAAAAACAAAACAAAAACAATCCAAAACATTTTTTTTTATCAAGACCGTAGTTTCATCATAACAGCATGACATATAGACTCGTATTTCTTCATTAACATACCTCTCCCCACCCCCACACCCCCTGTATACGCCCACAACTCCGACGTACGACATTAATCAGAGGCAGCACGATGATACTTTTCATATTTCCAGAGAAAGCTGAGTGTAAAACATGATTCTTATCTGATCACAGACGTGATGGTAATTCTAGCAAATATTGCAAGATTGATAAATGACAATGCTAACGATGTATGAAATACATCTTCTGTATCTCGCTCAGTTTATTTTTCTTCAGCGGCTGTCTGGGCGGTTGGATAGACTTGAATAATTGAATAATTGCGATTTAACGGAGAGATTGTAATTAGGTTGGCAGAGTTTATTTCCAGATAGCGCCTGTTTATATGTACAGAATTATGTTTAAAAACTGTTGTAATAGCAGTCTTGAATATTAAATCCAGGTTGATTATCCCCTATAGGTCACCCTCCCCCCCCCCGACACTATATCTATCCTTCTAACTATCACCCCTCCCCCTCCTCTCTCTTTCCAGCAATAGCTAAGTGTGTGGGCTACTGGTATCTCATCAATGGCATGTACTACGACAGCTGACTCTCAATGGCATGTACTACGACAGCTGACTCTCAATGGCATGTACTACGACAGCTGACTCTCAATGGCATGTACTACGACAGCTGACTCTCAATGGCATGTACTACGACAGCTGACTCTCAATGGGATGTACTACGACAGCTGACTCTCAATGGGATGTACTACGACAGCTGACTCTCAATGGCATGTACTACGACAGCTGACGACTGATGGGATGTACTACGACAGCTGACGACTGATGGGATGTACTACGACAGCTGACGATTGGTGTCGGAATGGGCGGCTGGTATGATGGTATCTCATCAATGGGATGTACTACGACATCTGACTCTCGCAATGGGCGGCTGAACTTGACCGCGCTAATGAAGACAGAGGACCAGAGTCTGACACTTGTGTAGGTTGCTGTTTGTTTGTCGGCTCGTGTTTTTCTCGCTCTCACGGTCACCGCACTACGCTGGGAGTGTGTGTACTCACCCCAGTGTGAGCTTGGCTACTACTGCACTAGGCGACAGTGTAAAACGGCTCGCACTGTCAGGGGTTCTAGAGATGGATTAATTAACGAGCCGTAAATTGGGAATACAATTAAGACAATGATGCGTGTGTTGAGTGGGTGGTAAGTGAACGCGAGAAACATAATTAATAATGAGCTAAGATGAAGAAATAAACGATCACGTGACTTCTAGTAACGAGTACCGTAGTTAAACGACATAAGTGGCAAGGTCCCTCTAGTCCACAGATACAAAACATGAACGTTGGGGCGCTTCACAAAAAAAAGTTAATTTACACCATTACTTAGCTCAAGTGTGTCTGACAGAAGTCCTCAACTTTTTACGCCCCCCCCCCCCTCCCCAACACTATGTTCTTTAACTGATTAATGTCCTCAACTTTTTACGCGCCCCCCCCCCCTCTCCAACACTAAGTTCTTGTATCTGATTAATGTACCCAACTTTTTACGCCCCCCCCCAACACTAATTTCTTGTATCTAACTAATATCCCTAACGTTTTACGCCCCCCCCCCACCCACCCACCAACAATAACATTATGTGAGTGACTAACTAATGTCCCTAACGTTTTACGCCCCCCCCCCCCCCACCCACCCATCAACAATAACATTATGTGAGTGACTAACTAATGTCCCTAACGTTTTACGCCCCCCCCCCCCACCCACCCATCAACAATAACATTATGTGAGTGACTAACTAATGTCCCTAACGTTTTACGCCCCCCCCCCCCCCACCCACCCATCAACAATAACATTATGTGAGTGACTAACTAATGTCCCTAACGTTTTACGCCCCCCCCCCCCCCACCCACCCACCAACAATAACATTATGTGAGTGACTAACTAATGTCCCTAACGTTTTACGCCCCCCCCCCACCCACCCATCAACAATAACATTATGTGAGTGACTAACTAATGTCCCTAACGTTTTACGCCCCCCCCCCACCCACCCATCAACAATAACATTATGTGAGTGACTAACTAATGTCCCTAACGTTTTACAGCCCCTCAGTGACCCACAATGTAACCCCTCTTTTATTCCTCACTTCCACCACATCAAGACAACGCCCCCCCCCCCCCCCACACCGAGTGACGACAAAACGCTGAATTATTTATCCCATCCGTCGGTTCACCAGCCACGAACCCCAGCATAGCGTGGTGCGTCTCGGTGCAAACAAGTTCTCCAACATCACACGGAGTTCTGTACAAAAGTTGCATCACGTGGTGCGTCTCGGTGCAAACAAGTTCTCCAACATCACACGGAGTTCTGTACAAAAGTTGCATCACGTGGTGCGTCTCGGTGCAAACAAGTTCTCCAACATCACACGGAGTTCTGTACAAAAGTTGCATCACGTGGTGCGTCCCGGTGCAAACAAGTTCTCCAACATCACACGGAGTTCTGTACAAAAGTTGCATCACGTGGTGCGTCCAGGTGCAAACAAGTTCTCCAACATCACACGGAGTTCTGTACAAAAGTTGCATCACGTGGTGCGTCCCGGTGCAAACAAGTTCTCCAACATCACACGGAGTTCTGTACAAAAGTTGCATCACGTGGTGCGTCCCGGTGCAAACTAGTTCTCCAACATCACAAGGAGTTCTGTACAAAAGTTGCATCACGTGGTGCGTCCCGGTGCAAACAAGTTCTCCAACATCACACGGAGTTCTGTACAAAAGTTGCATCACGTCGTGCGTCCCGGTGCAAACAAGTTCTCCAACATCACACGGAGTTCTGTACAAAAGTTGCATCACGTGGTGCGTCTCGGTGCAAACAAGTTCTCCAACATCACACGGAGTTCTGTACAAAAGTTGCATCACGTCGTGCGTCCCGGTGCAAACAAGTTCTCCAACATCACACGGAGTTCTGTACAAAAGTTGCAAGACAAGCAGCTAAAATGAACCGTCGGGCCAGGCTGCTTGCCCTAGCCCGGGACAGAAATTCCGTTTGACTTGACATCCAAACCTTCTGGTTTCAGTTAAACGTGTCTTGGGAGAGTTAAGTTAATGTTACACTAAGCCGAGGCGATTGTTTGATGACAAAACTTTGGTGCCATGATGCCATTACTGAAATCAGCGACGTACCAGAACATTTCGGTGCCAATGGTTGTTCCACGATCTAAGGGAGTGTATCCGCTGTTTTCGTTAAGTGTACAAGAATTTATTCGGTGATATATTTGTTTCGGTTTTGGTCCGGTGCCTCAAACTTCGTTTCGTGAACTCAAGTGGGTAGTACGTAGGACAATGATCTCAGTCAAACTGTTAGGTAAACGTCATTTGATACTTCAATCAAACAGTCAGACACAGGCAGTGGCGTAGCCAGGATTGTCTCAAGGGAGGGGTTCCAATTTTTACCCGGGGACAAACTTTCGATTTGCACCCTCCTCCCCCCCCCCATCAGACTTTTGATTTGCACCCCCCACCCCCCCTCTCAGACTTTTGATTTGCCCCCCCCCTCAAACTTTCGATTTGCACCCCGCCCTCAAGCTTTCGATTTGCACCCCTCGCCCTCATACTTTATATATATACCGAGGGGTCTATGGGGGTTATGACCCTCCTAACCCCTCCCCCCTGCTTACGCCACTGGACACAGGCGAGGTACATCAATCAAACACAGGCGTGATATTACAATCAAAACGTTGGACCCACCTCACGCTGTATTTCAATCAATGCTCCAGTCGGTTTCAGTGAACTTGACCTTTGCTTTCGCGTGCGTTTATGGGATGCTCTGGCTCTTAGCTGTGAAACCTGTATGGGGATAAATGGTATAGATGTCAAGTGTACGCACGTTCTGATACAACTGTCAAGTGTACGTATGTTCTGATACATATGTCAAGTGTACGCACGTTCTGATACAACTGTCAAGTGTACGTATGTTCTGATACATATGTCAAGTGTACGCACGTTCTGATACAACAGTCAAGTGTACGTATGTTCTGATACATATGTCAAGTGTACGCACGTTCTGATACAACTGTCAAGTGTACGTATGTTCTGATACATATGTCAAGTGTACGCACGTTCTGATACAACTGTCAAGTGTACGTATGTTCTGATACATATGTCAAGTGTACGCACGTTCTGATACAACTGTCAAGTGTACGTATGTTCTGATACATATGTCAAGTGTACGCACGTTCTGATACAACTGTCAAGTGTACGTATGTTCTGATACATATGTCAAGTGTACGCACGTTCTGATACAACTGTCAAGTGTACGTATGTTCTGATACATATGTCAAGTGTACGCACGTTCTGATACAACTGTCAGGTGTACGCACGTTTTGATGACGTATTTGTGAGTGAGTTAGAAACACCCGAAGCTAGCAAGAGCACCAGATAAACACATTGACAATACAGAAACTTATCATAGTTTAACGTGTGTGACGAGTACATGAATGGTTGGACAGAGCGGATATCACACAAACGGATAAAGAGAGAGAGAGAGACAGAGAGAGAGAGACAGAGAGACAGAGAGAGAGAGAGAGACAGAGAGAGAGAAGTAAAACAAAGGACCAGAATTTTAATAGAGAAAAAAATGGCTATTAAATGAACAGTTGGGTGATTCAGAGGCGTAGCGACCCCTCCCGGCGCCCGGGGACAAACTTTCAATTGGGCGCCCCCCCCCTTATATTTTTTTTATATTTATAATTCAAAACTGCAGCTAAAATGAGCTTTTAATTTTTTTTTCAAAATTATTTTGGCGCCACTACGGTCGGCGCCCGGGGACATGCACCCCACCCCCGGTCGCGTCGCTACGCCTCTGGGGTGATTACCTCGGTCAATTTATAGTATGGCCACATTTGCTGTGATCTACTTCACCTATCAAACTCACAATCAAGACTAAAAACCGTAATTTTTTTTCCAAAACTATTTTCTTTTTTCAATTTTCCACTTAACGAGACAGCGGCGGGTTTCGATCCTGCATGTTGCCATTAACCCAACAATCCAACTCCATTTGACACCAATTGTTTGCCTGACGTCCATCCCACACGACTATCGTCTGACAAAACCAAACAGTTGTATCCAACATGGGCAAACTGTTTGATGTCCGAGCCTTGTACGGAGCAGATGAAGGAACACGCACCTGACCTACGACAATCTCAAACCGATTGTCTCCACTTTAAGGCCGGTTACTCTGTTTATTAATTCCCCCGAGGGGAGGTAATTTTAATAGAAACGGTAGAGCGACGATTGGCAAATCGCCCAGGGAAAGCGAGTCGTTAAGTGTTTGTGAGTGTGTGGCGTCGTGTTAGCTTGGGCTAACGTGATAGTCCGTAGGATTTTCTTTCCGTACAACTCGCTTATTTAATTTTTTTTTTTAAACGGACTGATGATGATTTTGGAACTGACGTAAAACAAACACGAGGGTTCTAATTTAGCCATGTCCGATTTCGCCAAGTTTTGAAGTAAAATATTTAATTAAAGATGATATTTGAAAAGAGGTTTTTTTAATCATCCATTGCTATATGGCAGTCAAGTTACCATTAGTAACTAAGTGCGATTGGGAGTTGGGAGAAATTGAAAAAACAAATGTAACGCTCCGTCATACAAGATAGTAGATACACATAGACGTTGAGTGGTGGTGGGGGGGGGGGGGTGACCCGGCAGCAGCCAAGGGCCCCCTAAGCTCTTTGAATACATTTTTAAAAAACACAAAGAGCCTGGGTCAGTTTTAGCCCTGGGCCATTCTCTGTCGTAACGTCTTAAACCTGACAATTTTGTGTGGCTGGTAGTTGTATATTTGTGGGGGTCCGTTTGTATTGCTGTACTTTGGGGGTCCGTTTGTATGGATGTACTTTAGTGTGGGGGTCCGTTTGTATGGATGTACTTTAGTGTGGGGGTCCGTTTGTATGGATGTACTTTAGTGTGGGGGTCCGTTTGAATGGATGTACTTTAGTGTGGGGGTCCGTTTGAATGGATGTACTTTAGTGTGGGGGTCCGTTTGAATGGATGTACTTTAGTGTGGGGGTCCGTTTGTATGGGTGTACTTTAGTGTGGGGGTCCGTTTGTATGGATGTACTTTAGTGTAGGGGTCCGTTTGTATGGATGTACTTTAGTGTGGGGGTCCGTTTGTATGGATGTACTTTAGTGTGGGGGTCCGTTTGTATGGATGTACTTTAGTGTGGGGGTCCGTTTGTATGGATGTACTTTAGTGTAGGGGTCCGTTTGTATGGATGTACTTTAGTGTGGGGGTCCGTTTGTATGGATGTACTTTAGTGTGGGGGTCCGTTTGTATGGATGTACTTTAGTGTGGGGGTCCGTTTGTATGGATGTACTTTAGTGTGGGGTCCGTTTGTATGGATGTACTTTAGTGTGGGGGTCCGTTTGTATGGATGTACTTTAGTGTGGGGGTCCGTTTGTATGGATGTACTTTAGTGTGGGGGTCCGTTTGAATGGATGTACTTTAGTGTGGGGGTCCGTTTGAATGGATGTACTTTAGTGTGGGGGTCCGTTTGTATGGGTGTACTTTAGTGTGGGGGTCCGTTTGTATGGATGTACTTTAGTGTGGGGGTCCGTTTGTATGGATGTACTTTAGTGTGGGGGTCCGTTTGTATGGATGTACTTTAGTGTGGGGGTCCGTTTGAATGGATGTACTTTAGTGTGGGGGTCCGTTTGAATGGATGTACTTTAGTGTGGGGGTCCGTTTGTATGGGTGTACTTTAGTGTGGGGGTCCGTTTGTATGGATGTACTTTAGTGTGGGGGTCCGTTTGTATGGATGTACTTTAGTGTGGGGGTCCGTTTGTATGGATGTACTTTAGTGTGGGGGTCCGTTTGTATGGATGTACTTTGGGTGGGGTCCATTTGTATGGATGTACTTTGGGTGGGGTCCATTTGTATGGATGTACTTTGGGGGGGTCCATTTGTATGGATGTACTTTGGGGGTGGGGGTCCATTTATATGGATGTACTTGGGGGTGTAATCCATTTGTATGGATGTACTTTGGGGGTCCGTGTGTATGGATGTACTTTGGGGGTCCATTTGTATGTACTTTATTGAGGAAGTCTTCCACAGAAGCGATATGACGAGGGTGCTCATGAGCTTTTGTCGAGTGCGACTTGGGTATACAAACGTCTACACTTGACCCAGCAACCAAACACAAAGCACACCCTACGTCTCGCATACGTCTTCTGTCGTCTGACTGACATGCCAATTTCATACAGAAACAACGACGCCAGCCCGCGATTACTAGCCATATTAAAGACAAACAGCCGGCGCTTTGAGGGGCGACTGACAAGTTAATTACTGCCTGACGCCGGCTGACACTGTAGATCAATGGTAAACAAAACGTGCGGCTCTGATGAGGATAAAGTGGTGCTGGTTTAATTCACAGCTTCTAGCTAGTCCGGGGGGGGGGGGGGGGGGTGTGGACATGGACGAGGGAGTATTAATGCAATACATCAGCTGCGGAACTAACAATATTGTAGGCAACAATAAAGACGAACAATATTGTATTCAATAATAAATAAAGAAAGGTGTAATATTGAAAAATAAACGCTGATGAGATGAGAACAAGCTTAAGCTTTTATGAAAAATGCCATGTTGATAGGTGTGTTATGAAGTAAGGCATGGAGGCTGTGGTGGAATCCTCAACGCTTGGCTCATCAATTCAAGGGAAATAAGCCATAATTTTAAACCCAATAACAATGACTTGAGCTAAATGCTGATTTTTTGTTTGAAACAGAAAAAAAAGAAACATTTTAAATCGCTACGCCTATATATCATAAAAATGATCACTTTATAATCCTCCATATCAACGTTTCGAAAAAAAAACTTCAGTTAACTGGAAACAGTCGAAAATTTAATTAAGAATTTCTTTTCGTATCATTCGCATTTTTATCATATATCTCTTTATTACTGGTTTAATATTTCTGTTGTGTTTTTAATTCGTCAATAATTATTCAGCTAAGTCAGAGAAAAAAACAGAATGATCCCTAAATTTGATAAAATCAGTTGAATCGTTGGCGTGTTTTAATCTAACAATTTGTGTGGTCAAAATGTTCTTTCCTGATCACTGAGCTTAGGTATTTAATTAATTTATTTGATCTCCCTAACTCCCCCACCCCCCGCAGTACGATCTAACCCCCTCGCTATCACAATGATCCTAATACAAACGCGATTACTGTCGCCAATCCTCTGAAATGTGAACAGTCTGGTCTTCGGTTGTGAACTTTTGAAATGTGAACAGTTTATTTTGCGATCGTGAACTTTAAGACAGGTTGATGGCAATAGGCCATTGCTTGTTGTTCAATACGAGGGCATTAAGGCTTTGTATGTCCTACTAGACCAGGGCATTAAGGCTTTGTATGTCCTACTAGACGTGGGCATTAAGGCTTTGTATGTCCTACTAGACGAGGGAATTAAGGCTTTGTTTGTCCTACTAGACGAGGGCATTAAGGCTTTGTATGTCCTACTAGATGAGGGAATTAAGGCTTTGTATGTCCTACTAGACGAGGGCATTAAGGCTTTGTATGTCCTACTAGACCAGGGCATTAAGGCTTTGTATGTCCTACTAGACCAGGGCATTAAGGCTTTGTATGTCCTACTAGACCAGGGCATTAAGGCTTTGTATGTCCTACTAGATGAGGGAATTAAGGCTTTGTATGTCCTACTAGACGAGGGCATTAAGGCTTTGTATGTCCTACTAGTCGAGGGCATTAAGGCTTTGTATGTCCTACTAGACCAGGGCATTAAGGCTTTGTATGTCCTACTTGACCAGGGCATTAAGGCTTTGTATGTCCTTCTACACCAGGGCATTAAGGTTTTGTATGTCCTACTAGACCAGGGCATTTAGGCTTTGTATGTCCTACTAAACTAGACGATGACGGTACTGATTTGCATGTGGTTTAACATTGATAGTATCAGACCCGCTCTGAACTTGCTCTCACGCAACTATCTAGAGGTTAGATAACTTACTGGCTATGTACTTTACACGTCAAAATAACCTACATTTGACTGAACTCGCCAGCGAGCCATTCCATGTGCAGGGGACAAGAAGGCAGCGGTTCTCAAATGACTGAACAAAGATGAAGGTGTACAAAGCCAACATAGATCACGACGGACAACTCACTGTATGTTGTGATTTAGATGAAGATTCATGTGATGTGAAAGACATATGCCGGCTAATGTCTTCTCGCACAATGTGAAAGATATTGGAAGCGATATGGAAGATGATAGATGCGATATATGTATGTCAATGTATAAATAGCTTGCCTACAGTTCATATAAATCAACAAATTATGTCTTGTCCTTTATACAGTCTAATCCATTAGAAATACGGCAATATACTGGACACAGCCCGTAATGTAACGTTGCATTTGTCTTTATTTTAACAGGGTAAATAAAGTATCAGCAAAACTGGCTCTGAAACCATAATGAAATTAAGTACCTTTTTTTTAATTACACACATCGTTTCAAATTTTTATCTTAATTAAATGTTAAATGTGTTTATTTTTATGGCTTCTAAAGAAGATATTGTGATATGAAATGCGTGTATTCAAACAATAAAATTCTCCGAAAGCTATAATATTCGTTCAGTCGTTACATTTATTCGCTCGCTTAAGTGAGAGAACTGTTAACTAGCAGTTTGAAAAGGTTGTGAGTGAAGCGGTGGTGAGTGAATGGATGTGGGGTCTATGTAACAGGATACGCATTAAAAATGTGGGGGGGTATCAGGGGTTAGGTATGATAAAAACAAAAGATTGAGAACCACCGATAGCGGAGTGTTTATTGTTTTACAGCTCCGCATTTCGTCATAGGCTTACACCTTTGAATAAACTCGCCTTGGGAATGGACGAGTTCATTTACAAGGTACAGCTGCTCAACAATGGACGTTTATTGCAAAACTAAATGTCGCGGGCGTTTGAAAGTGTTTTATTGATGGTATCGCTGCTATTTTCTTTGATGTTCGTGTTTGAGGGTAGTTTATTGTGCTGTATCGTGCGGGTGTTTATGTGAGCATGGCTATTTAACACTAGTCGCTGTCCAGGGATCTTAATTCCACTCATACATTATTGACAGTGTAATTGTCGCTCCGCCGGTCGTTTTGTGGGGGGTCGCCGATGGGTTGACTGTCTAATGACAGCAAATCATGTTCCGCGAGTCAGACCTCGGCAGGGGGCGTAACATGAGACACCGCGTGTGGGGTGAAGTAGAGTCGGCCTGTATATCTATAAACTAGAGCATTCGGTCGCAAGGAGAGCTCACACAAGGGAATACTAAACTTGATGATGAACGCTGTTTAGAGATGGATGACATTAACTTTACGTGCTTGGCCAAATCAACATCACACCAACGATGTGTGTGCGTTGTATACATGTGGCATCAGTGAAGTGGTCAGTTAGCGCAGTCCCAAGCCTTACAGTGTCCCTCTTAAATACATGTTTACAGTCACCAATCTTTTTTTTTGTGAGTATGCGACTTTACTCGCATTCACACAGGTCCAATTATGTTTGACGCAAACGTCTTTTTTATACATAGATAAACATCTTTTTATACATAGATAAACATATTTTATACATAGATAAACATCTTTTTATACATAGATAAACATATTTTTATACATAGATAAACATCTTTTTATACATAGATAAACATCTTTTTATACATAGATAAATATCTTTTTATACATAGATAAACATCTTTTTATACATAGATAAACATCTTTTTATACAAAGACATACATAGAGATACGTCCTTTAATACATAGACTTCTATACCAGTGGTTCTTAACCAGGGTTCGATCGAGCCCCAGGGGTTCGGTGAAGGTCAAGACACACACCCGTCGAACTTTCGGTACGGACGATAGAACTATTAAGGAGGGTTCGGTGAATGTGCATTTGACATTGGTGGGGTTTGATACCTCCAAAAAGGTTAAGAACCACTGTTCTATAAATAGACAAAGTTCCATACGCACACAAACATCATGTTATATACACAGATAAAAATTCCTATTACAAATACAAAATCTCACACATTAGACTCTCATAGTGTGAAATAAAAACTAAACAAAAGAAACAAATACAAGCCACGTAAGTAGGGTTGTCAGGGGCAACACCGTATAAACAAAGTATCTGTCCGTGAACCTTTCATACACCCACAATGCGCCCAGTGCTCTCTAGTCAAATGTTGAACATGAAACCCATCTCTTGAACATTGCACAATACAGTAGATAACTAGGGGGGGGGGTGTATTTTGTCCTTCCAACAAGTGTCGTATTATCACAGATGACATTGCGGAATGCGATCTTCGCTCATGTGGACTCATCAAATATAGCTTTTAAAAAAATCTAGGCTTACGACTTAAACTCAGACATGTAATACCAGACGCATGCCAATCAGTGGCCTGACACACGTCTGCTGAACGCGTGGGAAACTGGGAGTCTGTTCGTCGTCTGCTCGTTGTCCAGATTCAAAACCAGTCCGGCCTTTCACCCTCGGCCCGACCTGGGCTCATTATTGTAATGAGCCCGAGTGTTTACAACGGTCGACCCCCGGACCTGACGTAGAACAAAGGTTGACGGTTCAACTCCAGGCCATGACTGGGTCGCCCACAACGACGGCAGACAAAGGTCACAACACTGCTGGCACTCTGGCAGACGTCTGACATGACCGTTTCTGGAATCTGCTACGGGCAAATCGTCGTGTTTACTCCAGCTAACTCGGGTCTAAAACTTGTCCCTAAAACAAACAAATAGAGGACCTTTTTCTCCTAAGGACAAAACCACAGTTAAGGACAATTTTTCTTGGGACCAAACCACGCTTGGGAATCTTTTCAACGTACTAGAGAAACGAACTTGTGACTAAAAAAAATGAAAACAACATTAAAAGATGTTTATGGTTGGGACAAAACTTTTTTTTGAGAATATGGTTTTTGAGAATATGATATAAAATTGTCATATTCTAAAGGTTTTAGAATAGTGAAAACCGCAACAACAACAAAAAAACAATTTATGATTTTTTTGATGAATCGGAAATAGCGTAAAGTACTACTTCCGGTCTCCGGAAATTTCTCACGATTACAATACATTCTTTATATTCCTTATACGATAAACTAAGAAGGTGTAAAACAGCGAAAACTATCAAAGTATCATTTTTTGCGCGGGATTACAATATACTCTATAAATTAGAAAGTAAAAATCAAACATCGTTTACAGAAGTTTTCGTGTGACCAAAAGACAACAAAAGATATTTTTTTCACGTTTTTTAAAACAGTTTAATTTTGTAGCATGAGAAAAGGGGGCGGGGTGGAATAAGCCTGTCCGTTGTTTAAGCTTTCACTAGCAGACACTCCTAGTCACGTGACAAGAGATTTCCCTGGCGGCGGGGACACGACAAGTCCCACGATGGTGGGGGGAGGGGGGGTTTCCGGCATCTGATTCCACTCCAGCAGGCGTCAATTTACTCAAAGACCTTGAAAACCACACAACTCCTGCACCGCTTCCAGTGCTGGTTTATGTCCCTTTCCTTTCCCTGATGCAGCGGTAAATTAGTTCATCGATTCGACGCACTTGCAACACTCCGAGTGCAGGCTCGGAGATATCCGTTTCCTGCAACTGTCAGGGACCTACCCGAGCCAGTGCCGAAGTCAAACGCATCGCCCGCCGACAGCATTTCACGTGAAATTTTAAATTCAGATAATGGGACGACAATTTTATTTGAATATATTATTAACTACTTGAAGGATTTTATTTTAATATATTATTATCCAATTATAAGCTCCTCGGAGAATTTTTCGTTGAATACGTTATTAGCAACTCGGAGAATTTTCTTGGAATACACCATTAGCTGGTCGGAGGTGAATGTCGTGTGTAATGTGATAGGTGTGTTACACAAGTCAGAGTGTGTGGAGGCGGGGTGGGAGGAGATACAGATTAGGCAAGAGTTGACGTTAGCGACACGCTAAAACAGACACGCCTCTGTGCGTGACGTCACAGTCACGCTTCTACGTCTTGTAGACGTCACAATCGTCACAGTGATACTGTTTGTGTGACGTCAAGGTCACACATGTTAACGTCACGTCAGTCACAACTCTTGATATCCAATTGACCAGCGCTGATGACATATACACTAATGGCTGTATCAAACTAACAACCCCTCACTCTTTAGATAGGTAAAAAAAAAACCTAGCACATTTTTCAGCAACACAAAAAAAAATTATCCGTAAATAGTTCAAACCGAGTTACACCAAGGATAACTACATTGAAAAAAAAAACTGCACACAAAAACCCGTTCTTCTAAACAATACATGGAGAAAAAAAAAGAGCATCAAAACAAACACAATGGATATCACAGGAGTTATAAATACAAATATCGCCAAAGCGAATTCGTCGATGGAAATTCGCCATAGACAAAATCGCCACATCAGACTAAGTACGCGATTCGAAACAGAAAGTTTTATTCAAATGTACAGAACAAGAAAAAATTAAAACGCCAGTTTTAATTGTCCAAACAGGCAAGATTGTAAAAAAAAAACCACGTACCTGGCCATAAACCTGTTGTATCAAATTGTTGCTTTCATTCACAGAAAAGTTTGACAAAGCCTATAAAAAAATTTCAAAAAGAGGAAAAAAATATATTAAACAATTGTTTTTTTAAGGAGGGGGTGACAACAAGACATACAAGATCATATTCTTCTCTTGCCCCAGCATATATAAATACACTAGCATACGCATAATCCTTGTTAGTATTTTTGCTAGCTATCAAAGAGTGGCGTGGTGTTGCTGATTGTTAACTAAAGAGTAATACATGAATGACACCACGCTTTTTTTGACGATTTTTACCTTCCCCCCCCCCCCCCCTCCGTCACACATCGTCACAAAAAGCCAGACCCCCCCTCTAAAATGACGTCATATCTCAGCCTACAACACCCCCCCCCCCCCCGTAATTGCAGTTGAATTTTTTTTTTAACATCGATTTCTTTTTCTAAAATTTTGACTGAGCTTGGTCAACATAGAGTATTTTAATCAGTTTCTATTACAATTTATTAAAACAGTGTTCTATAACGCAAAATATCGGCTAAAATTCAGTTTCTAACATTTTTTAATGCAAAAGTGTGACGTCCAAATATTTCAACACCCCCCACCCTTCCTTTCATCACACATTTTTCGCATAATTACAGAGCCCTCTCCCCACTACAACTGTGATGTCATTAACAGACGACCCTGACATGAGGGCTAAGGGTTAAGATAAGTGAGGACCCTATTTGTGAATATGAGCCATTTCCTTTACCAGAGCAACTACCAACACATCCTACTGGAACAGTCAATCGTCGGAGCTGGTGTAGAAAATACCCCACGGACACGACCCAACCACCCCCACCCCCTCAAACTGCCATCACAAAGCGAGTTTAGCAGTCAAGTCATGTGACCACAGACAAAGAACGTGAGTGGCTGCCCTTGAACGATTTCAGTCGCCGACTAACTAACGCTAAATACGCATCAGCAAACCTTTTTTTTTTTTAAATAGCACGTGACTTCTTCAGCTGACCGGTGCTAAATTAACCAATCAATGGCGTGGACAATCACGACATATAAATACCCCATAATCCCACGCGGGGTAAATACGACTAACGCCCGCGTAAAAAAAATATAATATAACACCAACTAAAGGTTCAAGATGAAATCAATATCCCCCGATATATTTTCTAATCGTCGATGTTTAATGGCGGTGTCTGGTACAAATAGATATAGGTGAAGTGCCGGGCTATATCTGTCGCTAAGTGCCGTAGTAGACTGATGGAAATGTTGGTCTAGTGAACCAATGGCTCAGATACGACGCGGGCGTACAAGAACACGCTACCACGATTGGCCTGGGAATCTTGATAATAGATACCGTGTTTTGTTGGCGCTTTCAAAATTCAGTTTTCGTACTGTTTGTGTTGGTTGATTACATTTTGTATTGTGAGATGTATCACAGTCGACAGGAAAATAATCGTAATTAAATTAGGGTGTGAACTTTTACGTGTATCTTTGTTACCGTTGTTTTTGTTTGTTTAATTGTTGTTGTTTTTTTATGGGGGAAGGGGGGGGGGGGGGTAATTCATCTTTTTGTGCATGCAAGGGAATACATTTTTTCGTATTCGTATTGATATACCTAAACGTTTTATTGTTTTGTTTGTTTTAATAGTGCAAAATTAATTTAACTAAAAACGAGCGTTATGAGACTGTTAACCCGAAAGTCTCGAGTCCGAATCCTGCGTCCACCCAGCTCTAATGTGTACCTAACCCGCGTTAGGGAAAGTAAATGCGTCTGGGCATAGTGCTGATAACCCCACTATCCCTTCATATGCCGAGGTCACAAAAACAGGTGAAATTTACTTGCGCCATGGACCGTCAGGTTCGAAAAGGGAAATTCACTTTTTTACTTTTAAAAAAATACGAACTTTAAAATCGGTAACAGTTTTTATTGTTTCGACAATTCGGCAAATCGAACCTGATGCTAGCAGGTCAGACAGTTTAAAATGTTTTAAAGGTCAAAGGTTGCAGGCACTTCAAGCCTTGTTAGATGCGTTCTCGCGATTATTAAATTATAATCAATAAAAACCGGCTGTTGGCATAAATTTCAAACTATAAAACGTAATTTGAAACCGTTAAAAAGTTAAACTGCAGGCTGTAAAAAATGAATTTTAAAAATAGATATGCACTGCTTGATACCCTCACTCTTCGGTGTGGGGTGAATTATTTAAACAGCTAATGGGTAGCACCCAAAACGTTGGAGGTAAATAATCGAGGGGGGGGGGGGGGTCTAGCGAACCTTCTTCTGCGTCCTTAATTTAAGTGCTGGAAGGGATCCCCTCCAACACAATTAAGTATACGTGTCAACTGGTTATGCGCTATTGAGGCCAATGAATCCGATTTCAGCTGCTTTTCTTTTTGGATTTGCTTCCATTGCTTTTGTCCAAACAAGAACAAATTACCAGGCAGCAGTTGTTTGATTTTGGAATAGTCTCTCCTAGAAGAGTGGCTGTCCCCAGCTAACGAGCCTCGAACTCGAGGCTTTTCGGTTTAGCAAACATGAGCTTTACCGACTCGACCACGTTGACCCCTGCGAACCTTTTAAAATAAATCACTTTATGACCAACAAATAAGGGGGGGGGGGTAAATATGATGATGGCCTAAAACAACTTCTCACCTCTGGCATACCTGGACAGTCCAGCCAATCCCTGCACGTCTGGTCAACGGTCAGCCCCGCTAACCTGGGGGTGTCATACGAACAAAGTGAAAGTGAAAGTAGATACAGGCTAAAACATTCAGGAAGAAAACTGCTTGGTTCACACACAAACGACAAATTGGTGTAATGGGGGGAGGGGGGGATAAGCATCTGTTAGTATTGGGGGAATGGCATCTGTTAGTATTGGGGGGGGGGAATGGCATCTGTTAGTAATAGGGGGGGAATGGCATCTATGTTAGTAGTGGGGGGGGGTAATGGCATTATAGTATTGGAAATTTAAGGGTGGGGCCAGAGATAAGGTCATGATTAGTGTTAGTTAGTGTTAGGATTTTAAGGGATATGGTTAGGTTGAGAGTCAGCTAGTGTTCAGATTTTAATGGTAGGGCCAGGTTCGGGTTGTAGGGTCAGTAGTGTTAGAGGTTCAAGTGAAGGGCGAGGGATAGGGTAAGTTAGAGTTAGGATTTAAAGGGATAGGGTTAGGCTGAGTTAGTGTCTGTTAAGGGTAGGGCCATAATTATGGTTAGAATCAGTAGTATTAGCGCCAGGGATAGGATACCAATATTGAAGGTTAGGATTAGGGATATGGTCAGGAGTACGGCTAGGACCAGGGTTGGGGTAGCGATTCTAGAACGACAAAAAAAAAGTTCCCGAACACGCCCTGCGGCCCACCCTATTAGTGCATTTTTTAAGTGATTGTCCAGTTAGCGACTAGCCCGGAAGGTTGGAAGATCCAGGGTAGAAGAACTGGTGAGGTGGGGAGAAGGCGGGAGAGAAAAGAGGGAGAATTAATAACTACATTTTTTTAAACGCTTGCCATCCAATTGTTAACGGCAAAAGTCCATACTATTATGATATTTACTTTACAGCTAGTAATGGTGAACTTTTAACAGGCTCGTGAATCTCTACTGTCTTGTTGAATGTTAACACAATATACATTAACCATAGGCGGATCTAGCTTAGCTTTGAATTAATTTTTTTTTTGGGTGGGGGAGTGTTAAGTCTCTCTCTCTCTCTCTCTCTCTCTCTCTGTATATATATATATATATATATATATATATATATATATATATATATATATATATATATATATCTATAATATAAGCGGGCTGAGCGTGTGTCAGTCCTTCCTTCCTTCTGTCATCGCTATAGCTTTTGGAACCATAAAAGTAAACATTCGCACCATGCTGTGCTTTTCAGTGCACCGCAGTATCTTATTATAAGCATTTGAGTAGGGTTTGTTTATATAGCGGCATACAGCTATTTTATAATTTCCACTGTTTGTACAATTTTGCATAACGTAAAGAGAATATTAAATACACGCACATTGCTAAAACATATTAAAAGGATCAATGTCAAATATAGTTTTCGTTAATATTCCTAGAAAAAGTGGATACATTTTAATAACATAATAACTGTAGGTTAGAAAAATCTAATTAAACTGTTTAGTAATTTTGCCAAGGGAGGTATTTTAAAAATAAATTAAACTCACGCTAAAAATGTGAATGCAAAATCTGCAAGACGGAATAATTGTTGGAATAATATAATTAGCAAAATGTGAATGCCAATTATGCAGATGTGTAAGAGTACATTATTGTTGGAATATTATAATTAGTATTGATTGTTAAAAGGCTATGTTTTATTTATTTTATTCACTGAATGTACTGTTTACTAATTATAATTTTTAATAAACTATTCTCCATTATTATTTTAATTATCACGTTCATTAGGTGCGCAATGGTTTTAGTCATGAAACTTTATTCTAAATTTTAAAAAGTACTGAAAAAAATGCATGAATTTATAATGTGCATTATGGTCTGTAAAACACGGATATTCTAAATAATGCCTTTAATTTATTTTATACACTGAACGTATTATTTACTAATTATTATTCTATCTTTCGGTTTGCGGATAAGCTAGGGGTTTTATGGCAGAGGGGTTGCAAGGAGGGGGGGGGGGGCATATGTCCTCTGGCGCCGACCTTAGGGGGCGCAAAAATGGGTTGGAAAAACAAATTGAAAATTTGCGGGGGGGGGGGGGGGGGGGGGATTTGGGGTGCAAAGCTAAAGTTTAAGGGAGTGGGGTGGAAATTGAAAGTTTGAGGGGGGGGGGGTAGCAAATCGAAAGTTTGTCCCCGGGCGCCGGGAAGGGTCGCTACGCCTCATTAACATTAACTGTGTCAGACGCGTCCGCCGGCGCTCGGAAAGGGCGCGATTTGGCGCTACGGGCTAGACTGTGAGCAATATGCCTTTATGATTGCATTTAAGATGTGTTTATGTTATGAGTGTTGTGTTTTGTTTTTTCGTTTGTTTTTTTTTTTTGCGTTCGTTTGTGTTGTGTTTAGTTTTGTTCTATTCCCAAGTTGGTACATTTAAAAAAGATTTACCGTGGCGGAGCACGGGATGCAGCTAGTATATATATATACATACACCACACTTGAATAAACGCCTACCACACACCACTGTAATACACACACCAAATAATTAACGTGTATGTGACTAAAAATTTCTCACGATTGTATTCAAAGAACCATTAGTATATTAGTAAGTATGTTATTTATGGCTGTCTCCTAATGCTGATGATCATTGTTGACCGGATGTGATACGGATCTGACCCTGCGCGTCTGGATCTCTGAGACCATCCTAGACGTCTGGCATCGAATGTTGGACAGACCTCCCCTGGGTGCACGTGCTTGTAAAGCAGACGTCAAATTCGAGTAAATAATGGAAAGATTGGAGAACGTTTTCTCTTGGCTCAGCAAGTTTGGAAAACTCCCGTCTATTAGTTGAACCCAACAGCTTCATAAAGCTGGGTGGGGGAGGGTGTTAAATTCTAATAATAGCCCACGTTTTTTTTTTTTTCTTAATTTCTTTTTACAATCTATTTTAAAGTACAGGGCAGTGGGGTTTTATATTTAAACAGATGAAACCCGAGCAAGTGAGGTTTAAGGTTAACAAATCTTGAGATATCGTTAATGAACTTTTCACCAAAGACAACTTTTTTTTCAGATTGGGTACTGTTAGGATGAAATATCGATCATTCTGATAGTGTTGCGGGAAGAGGGAGAAATAAAACTTGAAATTGTACACGAACACTTTAAGAACTGAGAGATACAACCTCAATTGTTTTGACTCGTATATTGATTTTGGTTATAGTTTTTGTTATGTTTTTTTGGTCTCTAGTCGTTGTTCTGGCATCAAGAAGATGAGCAGCGAAAAAAAATATCCCGAATCTTAATTGGTTGTTGATTTTTATTGGAATTAATTGCCACTCGATAGTTAGAATAGCGATCCGATGGAACCTTCTAGCAGGCGAAGGTCAATTAGGATAGACTATAAGGTTATTGGTTAGTTTTTTGTTCAGTATTTTTTACAAATGTGTTTTTCAGAGGTTTAATTCAGGAGGCCACTTGCTAAACCTGCTACGTCACTTCGGATTGATTTTGAGGAAATCGACTTTTAAAAATTTTATGTTTTAACTAAGTTAGAATTTTCGACAATTTACTATTTAGAAATGTTTTTAATGTGTGACTTTTACAAAAAAAATTAGTATACTACTGTAATTAGTAATTAATTAAGAATGCTTATAAGGGTAACTCGATGTTTTCAAAAAGTGGACATAAAAGATTTAGCAGGTGGCCAACTGCAAAGTCCAGCGTGTAAAGAAGTTTACAGCAATTTACGGTAGAACTCTCGTTTGAAGGACACAAGAGGATATATGACTTAGTGACGTGTAATGTCTCTTTTGTGAGGATGGGTGGGGGGGGGGCAGGATTCTCAAGGGTAAAGGTTAGGCACAAATCAGAGAAACTTCATTTAATAGATACATTCAAATGCAATAGATACGCAGGCAATAGATACACTAACATACAATAGATACAAAAAAATACAACAGATACACCATCATACAATAGATACACCAACATACAACAGATACACACACATGCAATAGATACACATGAAATAGATGCACACACATAGATACATACAAATGCAATAGATACACATGAAATAGATACATACATACAATAGATACACACACATACAATAGATACAAATGCAATAGTTACAAATGCAATAGATACACATGTAATAGATACACGTTCAATAGATACAGCCACATACAATAGATGCACACACATACAATAGATATACCAAAATACAATAGATACACACAGATATAATAGATACACCAACATACAATAGATACAACCACATACAATAGATACACACACACATACAATAGATGCAAATACAATAGATACACACACATACAATAGATACACTAATATGCAATAGATACCCATACAATAGATACACCACATACAATAGATACACCAAAATATAATAGATATACACACATACAGCAGATACATACAAATGCAATAGATACACATGCAATAGATACACATAAAATAAATACACATACATATAATAGATACATGAACATACTATATATACACTAACATACATACACAAACACATTAGTTATACCAACACACTAGATACACCAACATACAATAGATACACTAATATGCAATAGATACACATACAATGTATACACCTATATACTACAGATACACCCACATACAATAGATACACCCACATACAACAGATTCAAACACACATACAATAGATACACTAACATACAATAGATACACACACATACAAAAGATACACATGCATACAATAGATGTACCAACATACAATACATACACCCAAATACAATAGATACACTAACATACAATAGATACACTAACATACAATAGAGACAGCAACATACAATAGATACATCTAGATGCAATAGATAAATCAACATACAAATTCACACCCACTAAAAAACAACACATCACTGACCTCAACTTGGGACATTCATCAAAAATAAACTGCAGCAACTCCTAAACAATAAACAAAAACATTTAATTAATGATTTATATAATTTGGGATTTCTTAGACTAAATGTACTTGTCATCAGTTAATGTGAATAGATTTTGTATCTTGTCTGGAATAGAATTTTTTTTCAAATTGGGCATTACAGAATAACAGATTGTTTATTTTGTTGGCCAGATTTCTTGAAAATGTTAGTTTAAAAATAATTCAGTTTCTCTTAATTATAGTTCCTGATTTTAATCTCATATGTTGATAAGTAAAGGGTTAAATAAAATAATTATTCATGAAAGGATGGGGTCATTGGTAGATCTAGTTGTGGGACATAAGGGAGGTGACAAGTGACGAGAGTGGCTAAAAAAGTGACAAAATGATGAAAGTCGCTGATTAAGAAATGTAAAACTTTTCAGATGGACGAATTATGAATATGACAAAACCATGAGTGGATCTAGCTCAAAAAGAAAAAAAAAATTTAAAATTGATCAATTATTTAAGTAGAAATTTTAAAGAACAATACAATGAAACAGCTACCCTGAATGTTATGCTGAAACTTCTAAAAGTTTCATTTTACAAATGTGACAAAAATAAAACAAATTGTTCTGGCGTAGTAAAAACCCCAAGGAAAAGGCAGACATAAACATGTGGTTACCATGACAACCGAGTTACCTGTGATGTAAACAGCTGACCCAGTTGTTGATTGATAAACGTTTTTATGGTGTGGAGAAATAAATCTTTGCCAGCAATGTGTTCCAAGTGAGAGAGCAAGAAAAATCCCTGAAAAAATTTACGTACGACAATTTTGTCAATTTTCAGGAAAAACTTTAAATGGGTAAAATAAAATGACTAAGGTTTTTTTTTCTTTAACATTGGTATTTAATAATTTCAGTTTTGAGGAAAAAAAATTAATAAAGTAGGAGTGATCTCCCCTAAATTTTCTTAAATATTTGTATATAACAGTAACTTTAAGGGGGATGGCAACTCAATCTGGATATAGACATGTTTTTAATCAATTTTTAAATATTTACATTTTTTAATAGAAAAGAATTGCACAGAAAAAATAATTACACACAAAATAAACAGCAAACAATGTGTGTATAATAGTGCAGAAAATGTGTACTTTATAAACCTTGATTAACTTTTTTAAAAGTTAATTACTCATCTAATTAAGTAGCATTTTATTTCACTATATTTTGAAAAGTAAGAAATTAGTCCATTAAAAGTGTTGAAAATTTCACTCGTAAGTTTTCCCCATGACATAAATCCTTATGTCTTTAGGAGAAATCGGAATAGCAAAAAGTACTACTTCCAGTCAGTGGAAATAACTCAAAATATGTTTGAACACAGAGGATAAGATCTGTTATTTAAATATGAAATTTTGTCTACCTAACTTTTAAAAAACAGAAAGAAGAATATGTGTCAATTCAAGTTGCCAAAAATCAATGCAAAGTTGAAAGAAAACTACAAATTTGATAGAATACTAATATATGAAATTTCATCAAAATAACTAAAATGGTACTTAAGTGATCATGTTCACGTACACACAGAGAGACAAACAGACGGAAAAGATTGCAAAACTAAGTTTTTCCAACTCAATGAGGTGAAAACTCCTAGGCACCTATATGTGAATGTATATAATGGGCATGTAGCAAGGGGAAAGAACTCAGAAATATCAAATGTAAAAACACAATACATGGATTATGGTTCATGAAAGTTATATGGATTAACCAAAATTAATACCTCATTTTTAATCCTAATAAATAAAGCTAATTTTAATTTTAAAAAGTAATTAACCTTTAAATAATGAACCTGCATAACATTTTTCTCTGGATCCAAACCATTTTTTACAAACGCATCATCAGTCACTTCCGAATGTATCCCTGTGTTGCTCTCGTTGGGTCTGTGTAACAAACAATCAACCATTTTAAACTCAATCTCAGATAAAAGAATACCTGAAATAGGTTGCTTCACACACAATGTGCCTGGTCACAGCCAAAAATGTACTTCATAAAAAATTAAAAATTAAAAAACCACACATCGAACAAAATGCACAGCTACAAAACAAATCAAATTCCTCCCTTGATACTTATCAACCATGAAATGAGTGTTACCTCAGTGTTTGTAGATGTTCAGGTGTGTTACTCATCTCTGCCTTCAACAACCTGTACTTGATCAAGGCCCTCAGCTCAGCTCTTACTTTTGCCTCTTGTTCTCCCCACTCAAAATATATATTTTTTTAAAAATCTCATTTAAATGTTTAAATCTTGTTTAAATAATTTAATGAATATCTATTTTTAAAAACAGTTTATGTAAAGACAGTTACAGATACACTTTAGATGTGGACACATGGAATTTTATGGGGGGGTAGGGAAGAGGGCAGACACTGGTTGAAGCATATACTTTCTATATGAATTCTATTTTGTTGGATGAGGGGGGGGAGAAGGGAGAGAATCTTGTGGCAGTAAATTTGTTTTGAGGGTGGAGGGAGGGCTAGTACAATTATGTCATCATCTACTTTATTTGCCCTATGGAGGATCAATTCCACCTCTTTTTTTACTTTACAATAATAAGAGTTTGACATTTATTGGTTATCCATCAGTTATGTGTGATGATTTAACTAACAAATTAAAAAATAAGTTCATACTCTACAGTATTATATACAGAAGACTTTCCAATAGGAGTACAAGGCAAAAAGACACAATCATCTTTAAAAATTGTAAATAGCATGACGACCAAGGCAAAAACTATTTAAAAACATTTAAGACACAGATATCATATTGATGTGTTCATATGAAAGCAATGTGTGAGTCAATATGATTGAATGATAAATGTAGCTTTACCTGCATGGCCATAGCATGAACAATGAACTCTAGGTAACAGCAAACCCCTTCAGTCAGCCACTCCTCTGTCCAGCAGCGACTCCCTGTCAGGATACCAAACCACGTGTGACAAAGTTCATGGGACACTCGGTACATCATGCTGAGGTCTTCACACAGGAGGGACTGGGACAGGAACATTAGGTGGGGGCTGGAACAAGTAGAGGAACATTAGGTGGGGGCTGGAACAAGTACAGGAACATTAGGTGGGGGCTGGAACAGAGGAACATTAGGTGGGGGCTGGAACAAGTAGAGGAACATTAGGTGGGGGCTGGAACAGAGTAGAGGAACATTAGGTGGGGGCTGGAAGAGAGGAACATTAGGTGGGGGCTGGAACAGAGTAGAGGAACATTAGGTGGAGGCTGGAACAGAGTAGAGGAACATTAAGTGGAGGCTGGAACAGAGTAGAGGAACATTATGTAGGGGCTGGAAGAGAGTAGAGGAACATTAGGTGGGGGCTGGAACAGAGTACAGGAACATTAGGTGGGGGTTGGAACAGAGTAGAGGAACATTAGGTAGGGGCTGGAAGAGAGTAGAGGAACATTAGGTGGGGGCTGGAACAGAGTACAGGAACATTAGGTGGGGGTTGGAACAGAGTAGAGGAACATTAGGTGGGGGCTGGAAGAGAGTAGAGGAACATTAGGTGGGGGCTGGAACAGAGGAACATTAGGTGGGGGCTGGAACAGAGGAACATTAGGTGGGGGCTGGAACAAGTAGAGGAACATTAGGTGGGGGCTGGAAGAGAGTAGAGGAACATTAGGTGGGGGCTGGAACAGAGGAACATTAGGTGGGGGCTGGAACAGAGGAACATTAGGTGGGGGCTGGAACAAGTAGAGGAACATTAGGTGGGGGCTGGAACAGAGGAACATTAGGTGGGGGCTGGAACAGAGGAACATTAGGTGGGGGCTGGAACAAGTAGAGGAACATAAGGTGGGGGCTGGAAGAGAGTAGAGGAACATTAGGTGGGGGCTGGAACAGAGGAACATTAGGTGGGGGCTGGAAGAGAGGAACATTAGGTGGGGGCTGGAAGAGAGTAGAGGAACATTAGGTGGGGGCTGGAACAGAGGAACATTAGGTGGGGGTTGGAACAGAGTAGAGGAACATTAGGTGGGGGCTGGAAGAGAGTAGAGGAACATTAGGTGGGGGCTGGAACAGAGGAACATTAGGTGGGGGCTGGAACAGAGGAACATTAGGTGGGGGCTGGAACAGAGTAGAGGAACATTAGGTGGGGGCTGGAACAAGTAGAGGAACATTAGGTGGAGGCTGGAACAGAGTAGAGGAACATTAGGTGGGGGCTGGAACAGCGGAACATTAGGTGGGGGCTGGAACAAGTAGAGGAACATTAGGTGGGGGCTGGAACAGAGGAACATTAGGTGGGGGCTGGAACAAGTAGAGGAACATTAGGTGGGGGCTGGAACAAGTAGAGGAACATTAGGTGGGGGCTGGAACAAGTAGAGGAACATTAGGTGGGGGCTGGAACAGAGGAACATTAGGTGGGGGCTGGAACAAGTAGAGGAACATTAGGTGGGGGCTGGAACAAGTAGAGGAACATTAGGTGGGGGCTGGAACAGAGGAACATTAGGTGGGGGCTGGAACAAGTAGAGGAACATTAGGTGGGGGCTGGAACAGAGGAACATTAGGTGGGGGCTGGAACAAGTAGAGGAACATTAGGTGGGGGCTGGAAGAGAGTAGAGGAACATTAGGTGGGGGCTGGAACAAGTAGAGGAACATTAGGTGGGGGCTGGAAGAGAGTAGAGGAACATTAGGTGGGGGCTGGAAGAGAGTAGAGGAACATTAGGTGGGGGCTGGAACAAGTAGAGGAACATTAGGTGGGGGCTGGAAGAGAGTAGAGGAACATTAGGTGGGGGCTGGAACAAGTAGAGGAACATTAGGTGGGGGCTGGAAGAGAGTAGAGGAACATTAGGTGGGGGCTGGAACAAGTAGAGGAACATTAGGTGGGGGCTGGAAGAGAGTAGAGGAACATTAGGTGGGGGCTGGAAGAGAGTAGAGGAACATTAGGTGGGGGCTGGAAGAGAGTAGAGGAACATTAGGTGGGGGCTGGAACAGAGGAACATTAGGTGGGGGCTGGAACAGAGGAACATTAGGGGGGGGGGGGGCTGGAAGAGAGTAGAGGAACATTAGGTGGGGGCTGGAAGAGAGGAACATTAGGTGGGGGCTGGAACAGAGGAACATTAGGTGGGGGCTGGAAGAGAGGAACATTAGGTGGGGGCTGGAACAGAGGAACATTAGGTGGGGGCTGGAAGAGTGGAACATTAGGTGGGGGCTGGAAGAGAGTAGAGGAACATTAGGTGGGGGCTGGAACAGAGGAACATTAGGTGGGGGCTGGAACAGAGGAACATTAGGTGGGGGCTGGAAGAGAGGAACGTTAGGTGGGGGCTGGAAGAGAGTAGAGGAACATTAGGTGGGGGCTGGAAGAGAGGAACATTAGGTGGGGGCTGGAACAGAGGAACATTAGGTGGGGGCTGGAAGAGAGGAACATTAGGTGGGGGCTGGAACAGAGGAACATTAGGTGGGGGCTGGAAGAGAGGAACATTAGGTGGGGGCTGGAAGAGAGTAGAGGAACATTAGGTGGGGGCTGGAAGAGAGGAACATTAGGTGGGGGCTGGAACAGAGGAACATTAGGTGGGGGCTGGAAGAGAGTAGAGGAACATTAGGTGGGGGCTGGAAGAGAGGAACATTAGGTGGGGGCTGGAACAGAGTAGAGGAACATTAGGTGGGGGCTGGAACAGAGGAACATTAGGTGGGGGCTGGAAGAGAGGAACATTAGGTGGGGGCTGGAACAGAGGAACATTAGGTGGGGGCTGGAAGAGAGTAGAGGAACATTAGGTGGGGGCTGGAAAAGAGGAACATTAGGTGGGGGCTGGAACAGAGGAACATTAGGTGGGGGTTGGAAGAGAGTAGAGGAACATTAGGTGGGGGCTGGAACAGAGGAACATTAGGTGGGGGCTGGAAGAGAGTAGAGGAACATTAGGTGGGGGCTGGAACAGAGGAACATTAGGTGGGGGCTGGAACAAGTAGAGGAACATTAGGTGGGGGCTGGAACAGAGGAACATTAGGTGGGGGCTGGAACAAGTAGAGGAACATTAGGTGGGGGCTGGAAGAGAGTAGAGGAACATTAGGTGGGGGCTGGAACAGAGTAGAGGAACATTAGGTGGGGGTTGGAACAGAGTAGAGGAACATTAGGTGGGGGCTGGAACAGAGGAACATTAGGTGGGGGCTGGAACAAGTAGAGGAACATTAGGTGGGGGCTGGAACAGAGGAACATTAGGTGGGGGCTGGAACAAGTAGAGGAACATTAGGTGGGGGCTGGAAGAGAGTAGAGGAACATTGGGTGGGGGCTGGAACAAGTAGAGGAACATTAGGTGGGGGCTGGAAGAGAGTAGAGGAACATTAGGTGGGGGCTGGAAGAGAGGAACATTAGGTGGGGGCTGGAACAGAGGAACATTAGGTGGGGGCTGGAAGAGAGGAACATTAGGTGGGGGCTGGAACAGAGGAACATTAGGTGGGGGCTGGAACAGAGGAACATTAGGTGGGGGCTGGAACAGAGGAACATTAGGTGGGGGCTGGAACAGAGGAACATTAGGTGGGGGTTGGAAGAGAGTAGAGGAACATTAGGTGGGGGCTGGAACAGAGGAACATTAGGTGGGGGCTGGAAGAGAGTAGAGGAACATTAGGTGGGGGCTGGAACAGAGGAACATTAGGTGGGGGCTGGAACAAGTAGAGGAACATTAGGTGGGGGCTGGAACAGAGGAACATTAGGTGGGGGCTGGAACAAGTAGAGGAACATTAGGTGGGGGCTGGAAGAGAGTAGAGGAACATTAGGTGGGGCTGGAACAGAGTAGAGGAACATTAGGTGGGGGTTGGAACAGAGTAGAGGAACATTAGGTGGGGGCTGGAACAGAGGAACATTAGGTGGGGGCTGGAACAAGTAGAGGAACATTAGGTGGGGGCTGGAACAGAGGAACATTAGGTGGGGGCTGGAACAAGTAGAGGAACATTAGGTGGGGGCTGGAAGAGAGTAGAGGAACATTGGGTGGGGGCTGGAACAAGTAGAGGAACATTAGGTGGGGGCTGGAAGAGAGTAGAGGAACATTAGGTGGGGGCTGGAACAAGTAGAGGAACATTAGGTGGAGGCTGGAACAGAGTAGAGGAACATTAGGTGGGGGCTGGAACAGAGGAACATTAGGTGGGGGCTGGAACAGAGGAACATTAGGTGGGGGCTGGAACAAGTAGAGGAACATTAGGTGGGGGCTGGAACAAGTAGAGGAACATTAGGTGGGGGCTGGAACAGAGGAACATTAGGTGGGGGCTGGAACAAGTAGAGGAACATTAGGTGGGGGCTGGAACAAGTAGAGGAACATTAGGTGGGGGCTGGAACAGAGGAACATTAGGTGGGGGCTGGAACAAGTAGAGGAACATTAGGTGGGGGTTGGAAGAGAGTAGAGGAACATTAGGTGGGGGTTGGAAGAGAGTAGAGGAACATTAGGTGGGGGCTGGAACAGAGGAACATTAGGTGGGGGCTGGAAGAGAGTAGAGGAACATTAGGTGGGGGCTGGAACAGAGTAGAGGAACATTAGGTGGGGGTTGGAACAGAGGAACATTAGGTGGGGGCTGGAACAGAGGAACATTAGGTGGGGGCTGGAACAGAGGAACATTAGGTGGGGGCTGGAACAGAGGAACATTAGGTGGGGGCTGGAACAGAGGAACATTAGGTGGGGGCTGGAACAAGTAGAGGAACATTAGGTGGGGGCTGGAACAAGTAGAGGAACATTAGGTGGGGGCTGGAAGAGAGTAGAGGAACATTAGGTGGGGGCTGGAACAGAGGAACATTAGGTGGGGGCTGGAACAGAGGAACATTAGGTGGGGGCTGGAACAAGTAGAGGAACATTAGGTGGGGGCTGGAACAAGTAGAGGAACATTAGGTGGGGGCTGGAACAGAGGAACATTAGGTGGGGGCTGGAACAGAGGAACATTAGGTGGGGGCTGGAAGAGAGTAGAGGAACATTAGGTGGGGGCTGGAACAAGTAGAGGAACATTAGGTGGGGGCTGGAACAGAGGAACATTAGGTGGGGGCTGGAACAAGTAGAGGAACATTAGGTGGGGGCTGGAAGAGAGTAGAGGAACATTAGGTGGAACATTATTTGGGAGCTGGAAGAGAATTTCAATTTCTTAAATTGTTTTTAAAATAAGGTTTTTAACAAAGGTCAAAACCTGGGGTAAAAACATAAAAAGCATTAAGTTTATATTAAACCAACGCTTTAGAAAAGAAAAGGTAATTACCAGAGGAGCATTACTTAGGTGGTACTTTAAAATAAAACTTTGTAATAGTTAATATCTTAATCACGAAAAACCAAGTTTACTTTCTTTAATACTAAAATGTTAGGAAACAACAATGTGGTGTGATAACTTACCAGGCCATGCCAAGACTATCAAAACATTCAGGTACAATGACAAGTGACAAGTGCTTCAATGGGTATGTGCCTAAAACAGTCTTGAGGGCCTTGAGACAGGGAGGTAAATATCTGCTGAGCTGGTCGACAAATTGTGTGTGTAAACTTGGAGGGGAGTACAGGTGGCATGAAAGCATACACCTGAAATACATGTACATGAGGGCATATGAGGGCATACAAGGGGTACACCTGAAATACAGGTACAGAAGAAATTAGTTCATACACTTGAATTACGGTGTGGCCTAGCAGTGGAGCGCTAAACTGCTAACCCGATAGTTTCTTGTTCGAATCCTGGTTAAAGATAGAGGAACTATCTGAGTCCACCAAACTCTGATAGGTACCTAACTCACGTTAGGGAAAGTAAAGGCAGCTGGGCATAGTGCTGACCACACTATCCCTTTATATGCCGAGGTCAAGAAACATATGAACTCTACTTCATCAGCCCAATGGATCGTTACTTGAATTACAGGCTACATTATTGTATTCAAAAGAAATATTTATTTACACTAAACCCATTTTACATTCCTTGGTTGTAAAAGGATTGTATTCGGATACCAGTAGTCACTTATCAAAACACACTCTCTGCTATTTCTTACAATAGAGAAATATATCAAAACAATTTAATATCAGGCTACTAGATAACTAATTATAATAATTTAAGCATTGTACTTGTCTGTGTTCTCATGTTCAGTGCTACATAGAGCAGTGAGGTCTGTAAACTTCCAGCAACCAACAGCTATGGCTAATGTTGAAGATGGCATTGGATAGGAGCTTGAAAAGTGAAAAACAGGATCACCATCTAGGAGAAAAAGCCAAAAGAATTGAAACAATTATTATGTCATGGGTATTTGTGATATCTCAGCTTTAAGCTACCACATATGTGAGTTGCTTTGTTTTTTTTTCAACTACAGTGCATAACTAAATAAGAACCTCTTAATTAAAACATGAGTAGATCAGCAATAATTTAGGTTTGATAACATAACTTAAACCACCATTCCAGATGTGACATAATAGCTTCCCTTGTAAAAAAAATTCTACACCCACAAATTTATATCAAGGGAGTTTACTTACTCTGGTTTTCAGTAACTGTTGGTGGTGTCTCCCCTGTCATAACAACCACAGGTTCATGGATGCCCCTGTCAGTCAGTGTGATAGAGCAGTGCCATGTTGACATTGCCTGTGGCATGTCTTGAGAAGGAAACAGTGACCTGTTGTTTAACTGGTGACCGCAGGTGAGCACACATGGGCTGAAAAATGAAGTGGGATAATTAAAAGAGAAAAATTAATAAATCTATGCCAGCAAGTTTTAACAGCCACTAAATTTCTACCAATCCCCAGGCCTAGGGCTAAACCTAACTTTGATACCAACAGTGAAAAATGTAATATAATACTGTTTTGTATTGACTTCAAACACACAGAAACCAACAAATCACCATAACAAATAGTAACACACATAATTCACCCTCAGAAATAAAAATAAAATGCACAAAATATATGGTACCAATGTAGGAAATGGATTTTCAGTTTATAGCAGAATAGGAATAAATTATTCATTGATATGATATGAGAGTCTATAAATAATCTATTATTAAAAAATTATTTACCTTAAATTCTGATCTTTTGTCCACATTAATGAGGGTCCATCATGAAATGTTTTATAATTAATTTTTATAACAACCTCACTAGTGTTAGGATAAACATTTGGTAAACAAATTTTTAAGTAGTGTTTACTAACGTGAAATTCTAAAAAATTTATACTTTCAATAGGACATTTTTCCAATGATTCGTATTTCAACAAATAATTTTCCATGCAACATTGTGCAATCTGTATAGAAGTTCCGCCAGTGCAGACATGACTATCTTTTTTGTGTAAATCATACAACATGCAGGAATCAACATCCAATGCAAAACAATCCAAAACTATTAAATCACTGCCTTTCGAGTTAGTTATTGGAGCAACAATTTCAGGATTAACAACTTCCTTATCTGAACAAAAAATATTTCCATTGTTAAAATTACAGAAAATTGTTAGTGACCCTTTAAAGGTTCGTGAAGAAAAACTGCAGGATAAATTTATAACAAAATGTTGAACTTTCACATCAAAAAAATTTGAAGATAACGGCAAATCGAACTCGTGTTTATTCTGCTCTTTACTTGAAATTCCTTCCATAATAAATTAATAATGCAGGTTGCTTGATTGTGAGCTGTTACTTTTTACATTTTAATCGTATGATGTTTGCAATTCATGTCTTCTAGATATACTAAAACCTATTTTATATGTATATTATGTATCTTTTCGATTTGAGTTAGATCTATTTTAGCTGTCTGCTTTGTTTACCTTTTTCGTATTATTATCTGGTTTCGATAAATATTACTTTAATTTCACTTTTTTATTTATCCATTTGTGTTAAAATTTAAATATTTATTTTCCAAGAAAGTAGATCTATATATTTTTTAAAAAATCAACATTTAATTGAAAATATTCATTTAATATTTCTGTAAATTTGTATTTAAAGAAATGAGTTATGTCGCCGTTCCTTCATTTTGATCTTATTCGTTAACTTTCAAAAAGGCAGTTACATTTTTAATAAAAAGCTTTGTGTCCATAGTGACAAGCCAGTGCCCCGAACTAATGACTGATTTGTTATGATCTTTTAGTTTTATTTGAATGAGATTTCTTAAAAAATCTACGTAGATGAGCAAAAAGTCAGTATCCGTGTCAGCGAAAGCTAAACACAGAAATAACTCATCCAGAGATCGTTCTTCTTCCACTACAATGGCAAAATCAGGAGAAGAAGAGTGGTTAGCAGCTGATATTGAAGAGCATGCAAAAATGATGAAGAAACTTATAAATAACACTGAATTCAGGTACTTAGCAAAACATGTCATACTGCACCAGTATATACTATATAGTATATAGATCTAGATCTAATTTACAATTGTTTGAAAAATAATGTTAGAAACTGACTTTTATCAAATATTTCTCAATTTTAAATTTAAGGGCCAGGTTGTTTTTGTAAATTGTAATTTACTAATTGACAATTGTAGGCCTAATGGACACCAGTGAGTTGAGGAAAATCCTTCCCTAATGTTGTTGACATTGAATACTAATGTTGTTGACATGGAATACAAATGTGCTTTTTTAGATTTAGGACCGTAAAAATAATAAAAGATAAAATTTTATTAAAAACTTAAGCCTAAAATTAATTCAGAAATTTAATATTTTTAGAATCAATGCTATACAAGTTGCAGATCCAGAGAACTTCAAAATAATTTGTTGAGTTTAAGGCTACATTTCTATTTATTTTCATCAAGCCTAAGTTATAACCCGATGTTTCACTTTCGTAAGACAAACATTGTCGATTGGCTGTACAGGAACTCCGTGATCGATTTCTGACAGCCCCACTTGATAGTTTTTTTGTTTACAAAACTTTGCAGATCAAGTTTTTAAATAACAATGCAAATTTAAACAACATGACCTAGTTTTTCATTTTTTAGCTTACAATGTGTACAATAAAATTTATGGCGGCCTATCGAATAGCAGGATGCCATTGTTTATGTCGCCATTACACATGAAAACCAAATTGTTTTTGCTTTTTTTTTTAATTTTTATTAAGTTACCTAAAATATTAAAAACATCAAATACATCCAACCTTTAGTAAAGTCCGAAAAAACTAGACAGGCAGGATTTTATAACCATATTAATTGTAACTACGCCGTGCATGATTTTTAAATTAATTTATGGACCTCTCAACTACCTTTGAGACTTTTCTTGCTGGTGTCCATTGATTAACCCTTTGAGCCCTGGCCTCCCTGGCCTAATTTCTCCCATTTCCTGAGCTCCCAGGGCCAAACCAATTTTCACTTATCTGCTTCCAACTTTGCCTATAACTTTTGAACCGTTTGAGATAATCAACGTCACTATCATCACAATATAGACCAGGAATATTATCTTCTTCATCAGAATCAATAAGTAGTTGTATTGCCTGAGATGCAGTCATTCTACTTCTTTTGTTGATATTTCGGTCTTTTGCTTCATCTTTTGCACCAACTTTATGTGCTGAAGTCGATGGCTGTAAACATTTTCACTTTCCCTAAAATCTATTTTTAGAATCATAATCCTGCACTAAAAAGACATATGCGAAGTTTTAGTCAGTGTTCCGCTAATTATATTTAATTAAACAGTATACCGGCCGCTAGGAATATAACGCTAGATCATTGGGCCGGAAAACCGGCTTTTCTGACATATATGCCTAATGTTGAAGCCTTTTTAGCAGCCTGGCAGGCTCTAAGGGTTAATTAATAGTATTTAGCCTAGGGCTTAATAAATTATTAATGTAGTATCAAACTATATTTTTTTATACTCTGTGTTGACTGAGCTAAAAAAATATTTTAGAAAGAAATCAGTGGTTTTTAAAACTTTTAGGGGAGGGGGATTGTAGGCTGAAGTGTGGCTTTATTTTATAGGTGGGGGTCTGGCTTTTATAAAACTGTATGGTGATGGTGAGATAAAAAAAAAGTAACAAAAGTGTGATATAACTTATTGATGACCCCTGGAAAGAAATGGAACCAAAATATGAGTACAAAGATCTTTTAAGTCAGTGTATAGTGTATAACATAATGTGCTTTTAACATTAACGTTTATATAGATCTAAAAGCAAACCATCCTCATTAAAATGTGTTTTTTTTTTATTCCTTGCAGTGATATAAAATTCCTCATTGGCCCTAGCAGAAAACAAATACATGCTCATAGATGTATATTATCAGCACGGTGTGCAGTCTTCAAAGCAATGTTTGCAGAGAAACCAACAGCAGGTGATAAAGAAATACCATTTGTTTTGTCAGATATGGCTCCTGATATATTTCTTACTATGTTGGAGTACATATATACAAACTGTGTTACACTTTCACCAAAATCAGTGAGTATCATCTAAATAAATGAAGTTTTGTGGCATGTACATATATTTTATACTTGCTGTAAATTACAGCTATATTGATGAGTTTTAGAGGTCAGCATGGTTGGGTAGGTTAAGCTCATTGTTGCTGAAGCCATAAGTCATGAGTTCAAACCCCCGGACAGATGAGGCTCGATAGCTGTGGACAGCCATTCATCTAGCAGAGACAACTTCAAAATCAAACAACTGTTGTCTTGTAGTTTGTCCATGTTTGGACAAAGATTATGTAAACAAAACCAAAAAGAAAAGCAGGTTGAACTCGTAGTCAACGGCCTTCACGGTGCATAACTAGTTGACATGTACACTTAATTGTGTTGGATAAATCTATTTCAACACTAAAAATAAGAACAAAGAAGAAGAAAAGAAGAGGAGTTTTAAATGCAACCTTTTGAAATTAATTTTATGTTTGTTTTCAAATTGTTGTCAATAACACAATTGTCTTTAACTTGCGTTGCAATACAAAAGTGCCACTGTAAATTTTATCATGATTACTAGTTATAATTGTGACCAGATTGAAAGACTATTTTTGTTTTATAGGCATTAGATGTTTTAGCCACATCCCTGGAGTATGGGCTTGATGGCTTAAGAGATGTGAGTACAATTTTTTTAAATTATAGGCCAATGGTGACATAATAGTTAAATAGATTACCTGTAAAATTAAAGCCTATGGGATAAACTTTAAGATATCTCTCCTTAACTGTGATGTGTATGTTCTTTAACTTTTAAATTTTAATGTTCTTTTAAAAGCTCTGTGTGGATTACTTGGAAAATAAATTATCAGTTAGTAATGCCTGTGATGTAATGCAAGCGGCAGTAACTTACAATCAGAATGATTTGAAAGAAAAAGCCTTGGATTTTATTGAAGACAACACTGAAGTAAGTATACCTATAATATCTATGTCTTCTATCTGTTTACATTTTTTCTTCTTACTAAAAAGTATTATTGTTAACTCAAATATTAATTTACAGGAAGTATTTAAATCAAAAAGCTTTCAAGAAATAAGTGAAGACACTTTGGTCTCTATTTTACGATCTAATAGACTGAACATGGATGAGGTGGATTTGTACAAGGCTGTGAAAGAATGGGCAACGATCAGTGCGGTTAGATACTTTTAACTATTTGCCTTTAATTCAGTTTCTGGGTGTGCGTACATAGTGAGTTTAGTGTCAAAACACATTTAGAGAGACATGTGAACAGGTTATTTTTAATCCTATTTTCTGTTTTTTAAAGAAATATTTCATAAAATAATTATTGTTTATGTTTCCCAATTTTTTATTCATGAAAAAAACTTTTGCTGACATTTTTCTTTTTAAAATTGATTGTTTTTTTGGGTGACTAATCAATGTTTAATTAAACAATCAATTTAATTAATTGGATAAAAAATTAATTATCTTTACCAGGTTGTCAATAATAAACAGTTACATGAGGTGGCTAGGGATGCTGTCAAAAATATAAGACTGCCACTTTTGACACCCAGTGAACTCAAAGGCCTGGAAGAGGATAACAAAAAAGATCATTTTATTCCAGTAAGTATCCAAGAGCAATAACTCTGAAAGCATTGTAGTTTTTGGTTTATCTTTAATTATAGACACTCCCAGAATATTAAGGCTATAAGATCAGTATTATTATAACTGTTATATTTTAAAATATCTTTGTTGGTCAGTTGAAGATATGATGATTTTTCCACAGAATGCCATAATATAGTTCTGCTATGATTGATCTCAATTGCCTTTTGAATGACATTTCTATTGTTTTATTTTAATTAGGTTGAGCACTTTGCCTCAGCCTGGAGGGTGCATGCCCTAAAAGAAGGTGATAAGGAAAACATCTTGTCTTGTTGTAGACGTGGTACAACCCCACGAGATCACCATAAATATTTGTCAGACAATTCTCATGCTGCTTAGTATAAATAATGAGATTGCTATAAATATTTGTCAGACAATTCTCATGCTGCTTAGTGTAAATAATGAGATTGCTATAAATATTTGTAAAATAATTTTCATGCTGTAAAAGTGTAATTAATTTTTGTTTTTAAGTAAGTTACTGTTATTAGAAATGTTTAAATTTTTAAACTAGCTTTAATTTTAATAACTGTTTATACAAAACATTAGATTTACTGGGTTTTTTAATTATAGACAGATGTAAATAAAAAATCTTCTTTAGTTTACTTAAACATTTATTGTTCATTACAAACTTGTATATAATGAATACTTAATTATTGTAAAAAAAAAAGTACATTATTGTTATGACATTTTTATAGTTCATTGAGAAAAGCTTTAAAAAATGGCCAACACAGTGGGCTAATCAGAAGTTTGCTGACATGTTTTTTAATGAAAAAAAAATGAAATAAAAACTATGTTACTAGATACAAGTTACGAGCAACAGAAAGAAATGAGGAGAGTTACATTCAAATATCAAATATTTGGCTTCATAACACACATTTAACTCTAGTCATTTCTACTTAGCTAATATTTTTGTGTTACGTTACTCTTTTATTGTACACAACAATGAATTGGTTGATTGTAATTACGTACTTTATTATCATTGATACAACATTAATATTATTTTTACATAAAATAGCTTACATACACTGTTTTTGACACATTTTAAAAAGTGAACTCTAGGTCTATAGATCTTAATAAACAATTGTTAGTAAGGGAAATAAAATATCTAAATTTTATATTTTGCTCCTGTTGCTTGTATTGTGAAGACACCATTATTGCAGTTGGCTTATTGGTTGTAAAAATAGAAAAAAAAATAATAATTTGTGACTATTTTAAGAATACCATAGGGCCCTACATTGAAACATGTGATATATATCAACTAATATCTAGAGATCCATGAAATTGATAAAATTTTGGAGTAGGTTTGTAAAAAAAAAATTCGGCATTATTATGTATACATTCATTGAGTTCAGTCAGCTCAAGGCATCCCTCAGGTGAGGTCAATATGACACTGTCCTATCACACTGACTGACAGGGGCATGAATGGGCCTGTGGTTGTTATGACAGGGGAGACACCACTAACAGTTACTGAAAAACCTGAGTAAACTCCTCTAAAAAAATGGACTCAACAATACGGAAAGGTGGCTCATAAGTGTATTTCACAGAAACAGGTGAACTCTACTTCATCTGACAAGTCCGAAAGTCAAACTTTTTTACTAACTAATATTATTTAGAACAACTGTTGGGTTTTTTAGCAATAAGGCAAGGTAATGCATGAGAGGAGTAGTTAGGCCAATATATGGGACTCACCAGCTGGGACTCTACAGGCTAAAGCTCTGCACTGTATATGTAAGTATCTGGATCCGGTTACCTAGGCCTGCTTAGGTTACAGATAATTGCAAGCTGTTAGATATTGCAGGTAGAAATTAAAACTATGTAAATTACCTTTTTATTTTATTTACAAAACTGGTGGTAGAGGGGTAGAATTTATTAGCCCTGCTTACCATTTATTCGTGTAGGGCGCTGGGGTGGACGGGCTGTGTACAAGAGGCCCGGGAACTTTTAAAAGGGACCCTTAAGTCCAGGCTGTAATCTAGGCCTCGTCATAATATCGACATGCCCAGAAAGGTAGCGACCCATTCCGGGGCAAGATATCAATGTTGCGCCCCCACCACCACCACTCTCTCGAAACTTAAATAACGCACATATATTTTGTAAAGTAATTGTTCGATTAAAATCCTATAGGCCTACATGATGAAATATTGACGTCGCAGTAACAGCGAGTATAAGCCTCTACTTAAAGCATGAGAAAAAAATTATACACGTCACAATCCTTTTCAACAAGCGGTCGCATATATTTGGCGCATCAAACTCAAACCCAGATTAGCCTGGGAGATTTCTATTGTGTGAACGATATTGAACGTAGTCACACTCGTATTGGTATTTAGTTGTTGAATATCTACGTAGAACTGTTAACACATTATAGGATACACAAACATGCGATCGAGTGCGATCTACTTTACCCTATCTCATACGATACCCTTATAATCATCCTCACGTCTCAGCATATATATATATATATATATATATATATATATATATATATATATATATATATATATATATATATATATATATATACATATATAATAGGCCTATTTGAAACGTAGGCCTTTTTGAAAAGTGGGAGGAGGGATTTCAGTTCGTCACTTTTCTATGTACAATGTCTTCGACTTGATTTTGAACATTAAATTTCTCTCTGAAGACACTAAGAGTATTTTTTAAATCCAAAATGTTAGGGGCATTTCTTCTGTGTTGTTCGGTGTGAAATCAACCAAACTGTAGTGCTTGAGATTTGATTGAAAATCTGATCGGTTCAGGCCAGATTACTTTACGCATATGACGATCTACAATAATTATTGATTACCAATCAATCACTTACATTAAGAAACGTCGGTGACTTTATCAATATTGACTAAAACTTGATTGAGGACCTTCAACGTAAATTGAGACCTTACTATTCAAAAGGAGGGTAGACATGTTTACTAGGTTAGCGAGGCAGTAGCGTAGCGAGGGGGGGGGGGGCGGGGGGGGGGGACACATGTCCCCGGGCGCCGACCTTAGGGGGGGGCGCCAAATTGAAAGTTTGAGGGGGGGGTGCAAATAAAAATTTGAGGGGGGGGGATGCAAATCGAAAATTTGCTCCCGAGGGGGCGCCAAATTGAAAGTATGTCCCCGGGCGCCGGGAAGGGTCGCTACGCCTCTGTAGCGAGGGGAGGGTGAGATATTTTGAAACACGATTGGGGAAAAAGGATAGATGATTTAGCCTATATGTAAAAGAACATTTTTGCGGGAATAATTTTCCGAATAAACCTATGAGACAGACACTGCTGTGCTTCTAGACTGTGACGTGAATATCCAAAGAGAAGCCGCCTATAAATTACAGTGCTACAGGTACGCCCTATATCAGGAAAACAAAACGGAACAAAAGCATCACATAGTGACACCAACAATGTGGCACAAACAAAGTGACACCAACACAGTAACATGAACACGGTGACATGAACACTGTGACTCGAACACAGTGACACGAACACAGTGACACGAACACAGTGACACAAACACAGTGACATAAACACAAGTACACCAACACAGTGACATGAACACAGTGACACGAACACAGTGACATGAACACAGTGACACGAACACAGTGACATGAACACAGTGACACGAACACAGTGACACGAACACAGTGACACGAACACAGTGACATAAACACACCAACACAGTCAAATGAACACAGTGACACCTACACGGTGAAACCAACACAGTGACATAAACACAAGGACGCCAACACATTGACACGAACATAGTGACATAAACACAAGGACGCCAACACAGTGACACGAACACAGTGACACCAACACAGTGACTCCAAAAAATGACACCAACACACTGACACGAACACAGTGACACCAACAAAGTGACACGAACAAAATGACACCAACATAGTGATACTAAGACAATGACACCAACACTGTGAAACCAAGAAAATGACACCAACACAGTGACATAAACACAAGGACACTAACACAAAGATACCAACAGTGACACCAACACAATGACATAAACACAGTGAATGTTGCGTCCCTGTGACCACCAACTCTAATGGGTACCTGGCTCACATTAGGAAAAATAAAGGTACAGTGTTCAGCTCACCATCGGATCAGATGCCGAAGTCATTGAAACATGAAATATATGCTACTTTATCTGCCCAATGTGAACAGGAAAAAGTGGTCACGCACGCGCGCACACACACACACACACGCACACACGCACGCACACGCACACACACACACATATATATATAATTCGGCGCCTTTTTTGCTCTTTTCGCTCCCCCTACAACGAAAACCTGGATACGCCTCTCATATATATATATATACATATATATATATATATATATATATATATATATATATATATATATATATATATATATATATATATATATATAATCTTTACCCGTTGAGAGTGTGTGTTTGAACATAAGTAACGTTTACATAAGTAAACGCGGCAACACATTTGCTAATCGACTTCATCGCTAAAGGTTAAGCAAATCACTTGAAATTAATCAAACTGTGGGCAATAAGATAATAGAACAGTTTAAAGCTGGATCTGATCAATAAGTCTTTTCCAATACACTCCGAATAATAAGTTCGTTTTTCATTGCTGTTCTGCTAAACAAGATTTCAATTAGTTTTTTTTAATGGAGAAGGTTGGCGTTTGTCAAGTTTTAAAAGACAATATAAAATTAAGTTATGTGCACAGCAGCTTGTCTCAAAAAAGTTTATCGTCCAATTGTAAACTGAGTGCAGTATAAATCAACGATTGTAGGCCTACACTAAATTAGTTAGGCTTTTCTTGATCTGTCCTCTGAAACTTTGAGAAACGTAGCTAGGGAAGGGTGGGTGGGTCGGCCGTCAAGGGCGCCGACTGTAGGCGCAAAACGGGGGAGTACAAAAATAAAGCTAATTTCTGAGCTGTATTACTGAGTTATACAAAGTTGAGAAAATCGAAATTTCTGCTGAGCTTTACATATTGATTTTACTGTTTTGTACATCACTTGTTTGACATCAAAATATAACCTGTTAAGGAATAATCTTTCCAAACTGAGAGGTGGGGGGGGGGGGGGGGGCGCAAAATCCCAGTAGACTAAATAGTATAGAAAGAAATATTCTTTTATTTAAAAATTGCAATTTTATTAGGATGGTAAGTCGAGATGCGACATTTTTGGCAGTGATTTTTGTGATGATGTTAGATGCCGGGGAAGCGGCTTTACAACATACACAATAAATAGCATTTATTACACATGGGTTTTTATAGTTTTATTGTTCTTTTTTATTCTTTTATTATTCTTGATTATTTACATTTCGCATACATCTAAATTGTGTAGATCTATAATAATTTCAAAATTAAAAGTTAAAAATTATAATAGATTTAGATCTACGTAGTAGGTTATATTTCTAAAGACTAGGCTATGCTATTACCTCCCCTAAAACTGGAATTAGATACTTTGACCCCAAACCCCATGTGAATGGTGGCCTGATAAAACAGGTAAGGCCAGGGAAAGTTGAAATCATTTAGCTGCTTAGCCAACAACAAAGTGTGCTACGAGAGAGTCATTTATTAACGCGGTAAGTTAAAATATGTTTCAATAATTATAACTAGAAGTCTAACATGTTTAACAACTAGATTTAATTTTTATAGCTGTTCAGATTCTAATCATTTTAACGTAAAGTTATAGAAGGTCGGGGTTTATTTTATTTTTCAAAAAAATGAATCGCTGTCTCTAACAATCATGGTGCCGGTTTCATAGTAACGACAAATCAGTGTAGGCCTACTCATTGTTTGTAGACACCAAATGTACTGTTAGGAGCTTACAGATCTAGATCTAGTTTACGATAACATTTAACATTTTAATCCGTCGTAAGATAACATCTAGATTCTAGATCTAGATCTAGATCTAGATCTCTAGACTAGATCTAGAAAATCTAGATTCTAGAAATCTAGATTTAGTCTAGATTCTAGAGTCCTAGACTCTAGACTAGTCTAGACTCTAGACCTGGAGATTGACTACTCACCTCTACTCACTACGTGACTACAGTCAATAGTCAATACAATAGTGAGACGAAGTCTAGACTAGACCTAGATCTAGATTAGATTTCTTCTAGATATTAGATCTAATCTAGTCTAGGTCTAGACTAAAAAAAAAAACATTAAGAATTTCAGTCTTTAAAATCTGGGGTTTTTTTTTAAAGTTTTTTTTTTTTTTTAATTAGATTTAGATCTAGATCTAATCTAGATCTAGAATCTAGATCTAGATCTATGTGCAAATGTAAATAATTAGGCTGGATGATCTATCTAGAATGATCTAGATCTAGGCCAGTATTTTATTCAGTATGCCTACCTAATTTATATAAAGGTCCATTAACTCGGCCTATAAAATGGAAATAAAACATCAAACAACTTGATGAATTAAGTAGGCCCTAAGCTCCCATCCCGCCATAGTCTTACATACATTTCCACTAAAGAAAGATCCCCCTACGCTCACCAAAATTCAATCAAATTACAGCTTATGACATCCCACTCCCTCTCAAAATAACAATTATTTTTTTTAAAAGCAATTTTTTTTACAGTATCAGCCTGAGCAAACAATTATTATTATAATTTACCAAACTAATTTTTAAACATGCAAATTAACTGCAATACTTCACTTCCTACAATTACTAAAAATTATTTTTACGAATGAAACGTTTCCCCCTTGTCCCACAGCCTCAAGCCCTTTGATGTCATTTCTCTGACATCTGCATGGCCTCACACTTGAAAAATAAATTTTTATTTTCTGCTTAAAATTTTTTAGGATTGTAACATTTTCAAAATTAATTGGTCTAATAAACTAAAAGTGAAAATAATTCTTTGTTTTTACTTGGAGATTACATTTTTGTTTAGCCAGCATATATTACAGTCCGTTGAATGTCTTCTAGAACTGAATCAACGAGTTAAAATAACTTTGAGTATCTTGGTTAAACAGTTATACTGAATGAAATATTTTAAAACACACATAACCCTTTCTTAACATTTAACAAAATATACTGTTTTTCAATTTCTTGCTCTCCAGTTCTGAGTTTTATTCCAAGACCACTTTACAAATAAGGCTGCTAATAACTTATCCATTCATTTCTGTATTCCCTAGAAAGGAACAACCTCTCAAATAAGTTTGATCAAGAATGGATCAAGAAAGTTTAGTAGCCAAGGCTATAAAAGGCTATGATTATATTTTTGAAAATGCTGGTAAATGTGCTTTTGTTGGTCTTACATTGTTTGAACACTACCAATTCACTATTATTAGGGTTGCCAGATACCTTTTCCGAAAATACTGGACACCTTTCCATCCTTCCCTTCTCAGGTATGCCGCAAAGCAGAAGAAGGGGGGTAACAGAGTATTATTCATATACTTGTCCAGTATTTATATTTATTTTATCCTGGACAGTCTGCTCAAATACTGGACTGTCCAGTTCAAAACTGGACACCTGGCAACCCTAACTATTATAAGATTATTATCATTACAAGTTGTACTTTATGTACTTATTAGGCTGCTAATCACATTACAAAACTGTTTCTTATTTTAGATCCAAGAGTAGAAAATTGGTTCATGATGGGCTCCCCTATTCCAAGTCTAATTATTTGCTTAGCTTATTTTATTTTTGTTTGGATATCCCCTTCATTGATGAAAAATGTGAAGGCATTTGAGATGAGGAACCTTCTAGTAGTTTATAATTTAGCAATGGTTGCCCTGTCAACCTACACATTTTATGAGGTAAGTGGGTTTTGCATATCCTTAAAAACATTTACAGGAATAAGCATGTTGTATTGTAATATATTAATTCTCATATAAAAGCAATTTATTATTAGGGAAAAAAGCTTTTATTATATTCACAAATCACAAAAAAACATATTACAAATAAAAATGCACTAAAAAATAAAAAATAAATTTTGTTTGGAACCTTATTGAAGCTGTATGGTGTTATGACTTAAAATAAAAGACTGTGAGCTCAGTTATGAAAATTGAACATTGGTCTTATGTTATAGAAAGTAAACCTTCACTGAACTCCCTGTGAAAGACAATATATTCTCCATAAGTGAGAATTACTTACTCTACACTTTTTAGTCATTTGTTTAAAATTAAGTTGGCACTTCATAATGTACGTGTAAAATATTTGCGTTAAAATCGCCCAGTTGCTTTTGATCTCTAAAATTCAATTATCTGCCCCTATTTAGTTTGTGCTTGACGATAGGGCATGCAATCAGCCAGCCATGATGACAACCCTCTGATAAAGTGATTGCTAGTGTTTAATCTTCTTATTTCCCTTTTTTTATCATTGAATAAAGTAATTTTAAAATAAAAATTCGACTAATTGCTCTGACTATCTAATTGGCTTAACAACACATTTTCAAAAAAGATCTACCACCAATTTTAGCTCAATTGTAGAATGGGAATGGGTTAAATTAATATTCGAAGATTCGTGTAGCTACAAACACACACATACTTAGTGAACATAATAAAAGCCTTTTAAAAATCAGTCGGAAGAAAAGAAAATAGATATTCAATTGCAATATTTCAGATCTAAAATAATTCAAACCTGTAATACAGTCCTCAACACAACATTTCGTCTTGGTGTTTTTTATTTTTTTCCTTTGTTCTTTCATTCAAATTGAAATTCAATTTTTTCAATTCTGTAAATAGTTACTGTCATCTGTTTTTAATATCTGTTTACAGTTTTTGATGAGTGGATGGCTCACTGGATACAGCTTAGGGTGTCAGCCAGTGGATTATTCCAATTCTCCACAGGCTGTCAGAGTAGGTCATTTTTTGTTGCATAGTTTTGTGTGCTACTTACATTAAGTGTGTGATGCTTACATTACATTGATGTTTCTAGAATATTTCACATTTCTTTGGCCTTGATCAAAAAATTTTAATAACATGCAATAGATTTTTTAAAATGACGCTTACAAGCTTTTCCAGAAATTAAGTTCTAGGTAGATGTACAGGCAAACACTTTCATCTTTTAAAAAAGTAAAGCTGGGTGTAGACATGCTTCATCCATCTTGATTAATAAATGTCTGATTCATCACAACTACCATCATCCTCTTTTAATTTTTCTCATCATGTCAGAAATTCATGTTCAAAGCTAAGTTGACTTCAGAATTCACACAAAGTTGCAGTTACAACATTAATGTGACCTTCAGTTGGGTACAACTGTGAAGTGACAAAAACATGCACTATGCACCTCATCAAGCTATCAAATAAAGAAATGTTCTGTTACATGACTTTAAGGCTATACTACAACAAATAATCTGATCTATTTACAGATGGCAAGAGTTTGTTGGCTTTTCTACATTTCTAAATTCATTGAGCTGTTAGACACTGTAAGTAGAAGCAGGCAGTTAGACTGGCTAGCTTAGAATTTACAACTTAAGTTATGCTGATGTTTTTTATGAACAGATGTAAAAAAATATTTGAAATTGTTTTCAGGTTTTCTTCATCTTGAGGAAAAAGTTTAACCAGGTTTCCTTCCTGCATGTTTTCCACCATGGCATCATGCCCATCTCTTGGTGGTTTGGGGTCAAGCTTGTGCCTGGTATATATTTTTACATTATCTCTGCTATTTAAAAACCTGACTCATTTAGTTATTAAATAAATTTGTTTATTAGGTTAAGCTGTTAATGCTTAGATCATCTTGTTAGTAATGTTAAAAACATTTTAAAATGTTGTATTACAGGTGGATTTGGTACCTTTCACTCTCTGCTAAATTCATTCATCCACTTGGTGATGTATACATATTATGGCCTTTCTGCTCTGGGTCCTTCATTCCATAAATATCTGTGGTGGAAGAAATACATGACAAGTATGCAAATGGTGAGCTTATCTATTCAGTTTTAAATTAATATTGCTTAGTTATAGCAAATTTAAAAAGTGAAGAAATTAATTATTTTATTACAATCTAAAAATGATAGTAATTTTTTACAATAATTTTAAAATTTATTTTGATCAAAAAAATTTCTGTGCCTGTTATGATAAAATTCAAACACAATGTAAGTGAATTTACTAAAATGAAATTTCAGATTCAGTTTGTCGCTGTAACAATCCACTCGGCACAGCTGTTGTTCATGGATTGTGACTACCCCATCTTTTTTGTCTACTGGATAGGCTTGTATGCCGTTATATTCCTTTTCATGTTTGCCAAGTTCTATGTTCAAGCCTATCTTAAACCAGCCTCTTCTCATCAGAAGACAGTGACCAATGGATCTACCAAATCTATAGCAGAATCCAAATCTAAAACCAGTTAATTTATATTTTTTATGACTATATATATATCGCTTCATTTACAAATAAAAACATATTTCATAATAAGCTTTGCTCAAGTAGCTTATCGTTAACAATCATTATATAAAATTGATTTAAATACCTGATCTTTTTAATTTGGGGGGAAACAGCATCAGCTTTCTTTTATTTCAGCATACATTCTGTGATAAGCAACTGATTCATTTAAGATATTTTCATTGTCATTCTGTTATCTATTAAATATATTTCCAAGTTGTGCTATAAAAATGTTATTAAGGACCAGATATATTTTTACAATTCAAAATTTTTTGCCCTCACTAGAATTACTTCTAAAAAATGTAGTCTTTTTTAAAGAAGTATTTCTCTTTGTTTCATTTTAATTTTAACTTTGTTCTTTCTTGTTTGATCTCAAATCTATAACCATTACCTCTCTTATCACTTACTTCCCTTAAATAAATTACCACATGCTGTATATCTGCATTAGTATCAGGCCATGCTAGCAAATCAGCTAGTGTGAATCAAATATTTCATTTTGTTAAAAACACACTAGCTGCCTTATGGAAAAAAAAATCATTTTATCATAAACTGCTTCAAACCTCTACTATGGCAGCGTATAACTATATATTCTGTCATTTGTATTGTTAATCATTTAATAAATTTTTAGTTTTCAAAGCTTTATCACACATTTTACTTTTTAAGTGTATGGAATTATTTAGAATAAAATTGTACATTATTTTGATATCTAAACCACACAATGTCACAAATAATGCGATTAGATTTGTTTATCAAAATTAGTTTATATCTCTAAATGCAATAGTAAGACTGATATTTTCTAGTTCACAATAAAGTAATCTAGAACCAGTATTTTTTTTTTTAAATGGTCTAACTATATTTGGAATAAAGCAAAAAAAAATTATGTGCTGTTACTGTTACATTAGTATGTGGATGTATGTAATTTTAGGTTAAACCTCTGTTTTTTTTTAAAAAATTGTTATAAAGTTTGCTTGATGCCATAAGAGAACATAAAGTTTCAATTTCCTCTGTGCCTATGTCATTGATTGAAGTGTCTACATATACTATTACATGACTAATTTTTATACACCACACACATTTACGTGTTTAAATTCAATTATGTCTAAAAATCAAAAATGTTCTCAAGCCCGAACTGTTAAATACATCATCAGTATTTTGTATGTTATGTTGAAAAATAAATGATCACGTTCCTTTTTTCAGTTCACTTTGATATATTATCTTATATTTTGCACTGACTATTTTCCCTACTTGTATTGTTAATTACACCAGATTTCAGTTGTTAGAACTGCCGAATGTTTACAATGTTCTGTTGCATCTCAAGTCATTTTAATTATTTATTTATATCCATAAAACCACTGGACCAGATGAACTAGTAGTATTTCACATCCTAATATTTATTTAGAATTTTGTTTTTAATTAGAAAAGGTTTAAGTTGTTAAAATTAAGCTATGTTAGATCAACTTAGAGTTTAGATGTTGAATTGTAACGATTAGATGACCTAATTTTTAAAACTTTTAAAATGTTTCATTGCATAATTTTTTACCCGTTACGGAAATTTCATATAAATTTGTTAAAATTGAAAAGGCAATTTTGCAATTGAATAAAAGTTTATGAATAATTCTGACCAATTATTTATATCAACAGTTAAACCTGTAGATTGAGCTATTTTTAAATTTCTTATTAATTTGTTTGTTAACCATGGTCTATATTTATTTCTATATTACAAAGATTTTTTTTCTTTTATTTTCACATTGCAAGTGTTGTTAAGCTGGGTGTTTTGTTTTTGTTTTTTTTCTTCAGAAAAGGGGCACACGTTTTATTCCAGTTTAAAACTTATTTTAGTCTTTAATTTGGAAAATAATGCATGTAGGCCTAGTGTTTATCTGGAAAAATTTGTTTTGTTATAAAACATTCTCAAAAAGTTAGTTTTATCATTTAGTCATGCTTTTTTTCAAATGAATGTAAATGAGCGTGTGATTTTTGAGTGTCAAGAGCTTCATCTCAACCAGAAAAACATTTTTTTTTCTTTTTATTAAATTTTATTACATTTGATTTTTTTTTACTTTTATATCACTGTGTATATGGATGTTTTTTATTTTTCTATTTATTTTTATTATTAATCTTGGTATATATAAATGTCATTAAAAAAGTGAAGTAAAAAAAATATACATCATAATAGTAATAGAACTATATCATGATCGAACTGAAAACTCTTTCTTTGTAATGTGAGTCTTTATTATAACATCTCATAAGTTAATTTTCTAACACTACTAAATGAAGTGTTTCTGTTCAATTAATAAGTAAATATAGTATTTTTGTATTGAATATTTAAATCTCAGTAAATTTCATGAGTGAAAATTGTCTGTAGAGTAACCAATATTTATCACATTAATGGAATGGTGTTTACTTTTAATTTCAGCTAGACATCTATTATATATCTAGATATCGAGTGAATTATTAATTGGAGTGTGTATTAATAAAAACAAATCGTTAGGTACTATAAATGATATGTTTGCATGTACTTTGTTTTGTAAAAAGTATCACAAACAAATTAAAGATGGCAACATGCTATAATACAATCTCATTCAATCTTATTTTTCATTAGGCCTAAAAATGCTTTTAAAAAGCTGAATATAGCACCAGCATGAGAGAGGATTGATTGAATAGAACTATTGATGTGAAATGTAGTAAACATTACAAAAAGGAGTTGTTTATGATTTATAAGCCATTGCTAAATTATGATATGAGGAATTTTTTAACAGTACTTTTGCCATCTATACTTATTAAAATTTCAACTATAAAATACAAAGACATTTATGAATATGTACGTTTCATATTAAAACGTGTTGCCTTAGCCTTGGCTGAATTTACTGCATAAGGTGAGACCATAGTGTGATCACAAGTTGACATAAATATGGTTGAACATTATTTCTTAGCAAGGAATGGAAATTTCACTAAATTTTCTTTTTATAGCGGGTTGATGATTTATGTTTATTCATCTTAGAAGAGATCCAGTGATTACAATGGTAAAAAAGGTATTGTACGGTAGAATCCATAATAGTGACCCCTCTATAGCTTTGTATGTTTACACAGGTGAACTCTACTCCATCTACCTTAATCTTAAGGACTAATGCTAAACTGTTTATAATTTAAATATTGTAGGCATTGGTTCTTTTTAATAATTCATTATGCACAACAGATGAGATCCCTGCAGTTGTTACTCTCCAAAAAGCTTTGATTATTACAACGTATCTACAGAACGTACCCATCAAAAAGAAATTTGGTAAAATCAACTTAATTTGCATTAATATTTTCCTAGGATAATTATTGATTTTATAAAATGTGCATAAATATTAAATTATGTTACGTCCACAGTATTAGTTAGAGATATGTTTAAATTCATATTTTCAACTAAATCTCTTCATTAAAAGTGTGGACTGTAAAAAAAAAGTTGACACATCAGACCAACATGACCAACCAAAAAACACAATAAAAAGTAATCAATATTTATTTTAAATATACAATGCAAATTGTTTTACACTATCTGTACTAATCACTTAACCAATGAGTTAATCAGCTTATTTCTTATATGAGCCTTTGAAGCACAACCTATCCATAAGCTAGAGGGTAATCTTGCTTTAACAAAAACCACCATTGTTTGGTGCATTCATAGTAACAATTGTTCACCATAGTACACTTAGATCTTTGATGCACATATAATTATCCAATACAAACAATCCCTGGATCTGGACTAACTAACAAGTCTCTCAAGTGCAGGCACAAAAAAAAAGTAAAAGCTTGAATTATTCAGCCAATTCCTCTAAACTGTGCTTGCGTGTTATTCTTTTATTCCTTTCCTTCAGTCGTCTTTCCCGCTCCCATTCCTTTACTCTCATAGTTTGGCTGAAATAAAAGAGTAATTTTAAAATAAATGGGGGATAATTCATAGAAAGATTTATTATACTTGACACCATTGTTTAAATAAAGCAGGAGTGATCTCCCCTAAACTTTCTCAAATGTTTTCATATAACATTACAGGGGATGGCAACTCGGGATATAGACATGACTTTTAATTACTTAAACTGTTTAAAATAAAATTTGATAGAAAAAAGAATAGCGCACAAAGTGAACAGCAAACAAAGTGTGTATAATAGTGCGGAACTTTATAAATTCATATGAATTTTTTTTTAAAGAAATAGGAAATAAAGTAAAGTACCACTTCCGGTCACTGGAAATTACTCAAAATTTGAAAGAAAACAGAGAATTAGATCTTTTACTTGTATAGTTTCATCTAACTGAAACAGCCAAGCCACCTGTACTTTCCCAATTATGAGTCAGGTACCCATTAGAGCTGGCTGGACTCAGGGACGTCCTATAGACTTGAGCCTAAATACTATCATAACTAACAAATTCATTGTTTTTAAAGACAGAGGGAAAATAAAATCTATTGAATGCCATTGTCTTTGTGTTAAAATCAGATAATGTATAATTAATACTAATAGTTTCGCTGTCTGTCTATCTATCTATCTATCTATCTGTCTGACAAGAACGCTCTAGAGAAAACACAAGCAATTTAAAAACATGCATAGTAATTCGAAAAACGAAGTATGACGTCGACACATTTAGCGCACAGAGTAGAAAATAATCTCAAGCCGGATAGTGCACACATTGATATGACGTCATTGATTATCGAGTAAACATTCAATACAAAGGCAATTTGGTCTAATCTAAGTGGTTTGCGTGAAGAGTTCCTTTCATACAATTCTTCGGGTAGGTGCGAAGCCCCACCCCCGCGTAAGAACGTTTGAGCCCCCCCCCCCTCGGGGAGGGGGCGGACACTGGAAAAAGTATATAATTATATTTCGTTGAATGGGACGGTAGACATGTTTTTTTAGGGGGGTGGGGGGGGGGGGGGGGGGTGTGTGTGTGGGGGGGGGGGGGGGTGGGGTGGTTTTAATTTAGACTTTTTCCTCCCCGGAGAGGGGTGGTGGTACTTGAAATTTTCGGTGGCGGGGGTAGAATTTTCGGGGAGGGGGCGGACACTGGAAAAAGTATATAAATTATATTTCGTTGAATGGGACGGTAGACATGTTTTTTTTTGGGGGGGGGGGGGGGGGGGGGGGGGGGTGGTGTGTGTGGGGGGGTGGTGGGGGTGGGGGGTGGGGGTGGGGGTGGTGTGTGTGTGGGTGGGGGGGGGTGGTTTGTGTGTGGGTGGGGGGTGGTGTGTGGGGGGGTGGGGGGTGGGGGGGTGGTTTTAGTTTAGAGAAAAGAGACAGCACTATCAGCCTAGCGCCCGGTGTATCCTTCCTCAACGGGCCATTTTTCTCGTATATAATAGCTGTGGTAGTTAGAAAAACTCAACTATCTATGTATGTGAAATGATCTAAAGTGCCTTTGTATATATTATTTTATGGGATGGGCTTTGAGAGAGAAAAAAGTAATTAAATCAGCTTACTCATTCAATTCGCAGTGCTCCCATTCATGCAATTGCTTTGAGCAGTGTGAGATAAGACGAGGAAAGTGCTCCTGTTTACATTTTGTTAAAGCCAAAAAATAATCCACACAATAATCCCTTCTCTTCAGTGGAATATTTGCTTTGTCTAATTCTTCTCTAGTTGCAAGTACACCTATTTGGATAAAATAAAAGTGACTTAATTAACTGGCAAACAGTATCATTTAACACAGCTGATTGTAGCCTTTCCTTTCTGCAAAAACTAGCATGTCAAATTGGTGACAATAAATACACTTATAAGACAAAGCATACAGATATGTTCCCCATTATTAAAAAAATTTGCTGTGTTTAAAAAAAAAAAGTATGCATAATTTAGATTAATAACAAATGTATTCATGACACTAGAAACAGTATTTGTATTTTAATACAAGGGTTAGAAATTATTGACAAGAATTTTTTTGTTAGGACTTTCGGTTAGGTATAGGGTTAAGTGTTGATATTAAACAACAATGTGCACGGCACCACACCCCTTAACTGGGCATACCTATTTGACAGTGTAGTTTTTCTTTTTTATTTCATTTGCAAATTCCAATTGTTTATACTCTCTAACATCAACATGCCTATAAACCCAAAGAAGGGCACTAACTATTTTGCAACAATAAAAGAATAGTAAATAGGAGCTGTTTTACATAAAACTTTGAAAATTCATTCATAAAACAAATACTGGGTCTAGAATGATAATTTTTTAGCGCAATTTCCATTCTGGAGAATTGCGTTTATTAACCCGTCATTTCTGGATGTATGAATGAATGGATGGATGGATGGATGTGTGTCCGCAGCTTTAAGTCGTATCTCCTCCTCAACGAAGCAATATCGATGACTAGTTCCAAAAGCAATTATGTTAAGCAAGTTACGAGGATGAACATAGGCCATAAAAATTCTGGGTTTCTTTCATGGATTTCTCGGAAAAGCCAAAAAACCTAGAACAAATTCAGTTTTTGCTCCATATCTCGGCAACCAGACCACTTAGCGACTTGAAACATTTACCAATCGATTCCTGCCATAATTTAAACCAATATTGCCGAAGAAAGTTTTCAAAAATATCCTTTCGTTCGGTCACAAAAAAATTAATTAAGAATTTTTAAACTGAGCGTCTTGTAGGTTTTTAGCGCAAAAGCTGAGGATCGAAAGGATTTTAATGAGCGGAGGTTCGAAAGGATTTTTAAAATTTTTCCCCTTTTTTTTCGACTGATACGGGAGGCTAGTTTCTATTTTGTTTTGAATTATTAAAACTGCTTGTGTTGCATTATTTATTTGCTGAATATATGATTTATCTCGATTTAATTTACTTATTAATTCAAACGTTATTTTTGTACCCTATTAATAAGCTGAGCTTCGAAAGGATTTTACCATAGCGAATGAGCGGAGGTTCGAAAGGATTTTTTTAAAAATCTCGTTAATAAATATTTTTTCTATTTTCTTTTGAATTATTAAAACTACTTGTGTTGCATTATTATTTTATTTGCTCAATATATGATTTATCTCGATTTAATTTACTTATTAAATCAAACGTTATTGTTGTACCCTATTAATAAGCTGAGGTTCGATATAAGGAAATTGCGCTAAAATTGTCACTAGACTTTTTAATTAACTTGTTTAGTATATTGAGTGGAGGACCTTCCCTATAATTCTATGTAAATTTTATCATTCTGTGATAAATGGGAAAAATTTACAAAAATATCTATTATTCTAATTCTAGTGACTAGTCACCCCTAGCAGCTAGTCTACTGATTTTTTTATGTTCCACAAATAGCTTGTGATCGTCAGCGGGAGAAAAATACCTACATCATCAAGGGTTCACCATGAGTTCACATTGACTTTCTTTCATACATTATAGCTTGGGCAATTGCTATTTGAAATTGTGGTGGCCTCAGTTTTGGGGTCATTGTGAGTTCATATAAGTTTGCTTGTAGTACCATATGTGTGAGATACTTGTAACAGTACAAACTTAAAGAGTTTCGTACTTTACTCATGGCCATGAAAATCTTAACTGGCACGAACATACTTTTAAGAGTAAAAAAAAAAAGCAAAATCTGGAATCTAGATCTAAATAGTGCACATTCAATATTCCTAATTTGGATTTTTCTCACGTTGACAAAAGTAAATTATTATTATCAAAAACTAAAATTCATGAAGAAATAGGCCTAGTGTTTTCCTAACCGTTTTGTGTGTTTCTAATAAAAAACGGATAATCTCACGATATAGCATTGGAAATTATCAGGTAAACCATAGTTTATTTGACCGGTGAAATAAAAATAAAGTCAAGTGCATTAATGTTTTAACTTAATTTAAAGTTTAATTGACAGCAAAAAAGTAAGTATTAGTAAAACTTAATATTAATAGGCTGTTGCTCGTAATTTTTAAACTCCACTAATTTCAAATAAAATTATACCACAAAAAAACAGTATTTTTTTCCCTACACATTGATACCAATTATGTGTCTCTAGCTTAATTAGGAGCTAAGATATGGCCTTTTAAAAAATTGTGGGCGTGGCTAAAACAGCTTAGACCTTCGTCATTCAAGTCAATGTTACATAAACAAAAAAGTTGGCACCGATGGTTTTTTCATTGCATCATCACGGATTCGCATTTTTCGAAAAATTAAAAAATTATAATTTTATTGCATCATCCGGGATTCGCATTTTTTGAAAAACTAAAAAATTATAATCAAGCTTAAAGCCTAAGTTATACTGGACTGAATGTGATTTGAATGAGTAATTACATGCCATTGTCAGCCTCATAACATATTGACTTATTGTTCCATGTACAAAAAAAAATTAATGTAGGTTTAAAATAAAACTAGATCTAGTTATTGTAAAACGAATTATTAATATTTAATACTGTTACTACACTACTATTATTATATTATAGAAATGCACAAGCACATATTACACTGCACACGTTCTTATTGTAATGAACGATATTACTTGGGTAGATGAAGTAGAGTAGACCTACATACACACACACACTACATGATAAATGAAAGTTGCAACTGGTTGCCTTGACGTTACTTTTTCAGCCCCCCCCCCACCCCTTTGTACTTGATATCAGTGTCTATATCAGTAGGCCATAATAAAATTATAAAATAAAAAGGAAACAGCTGTCAAAGTGTGTACCAGTATTTATTTATTACTAGTAAACAATTCAATGTAACAATACTGACAATACAGACATTTCAATGTTTGCTAAAAGAAATATAAATTATTAAAATACAGTTATCAGATCACCACATGAATTTTGATTTTGTCTAATAAAATAGAAACATTTAGGAGAATGGCAAAGTAAAAAACAAAAATTTTTTGCAATAATTTAAAAATATGTTTATCAGAGCAAAGAAATAAATTACATAGCGACAACCTAAATTTAGCCTTTGTATAATCTACAATCAACATAGTAATGTAAAACAGTTACATAATCATAATTAGTGTGAAGAAACAAATCTACAGTACAAGAAAGCAGCCTCGTCTCATTACGATCCCTTTCAAGAAGAAAAATAGTATTAATTATCAAGGAATAAACACCCATGCTGGAAAAAAAATAATTAGTGACAACAAATTTCTTGGATTACTTTAGTGTTTAAAAACAATTTTCTAAGGTATCAATTGTAATTAATCTTTAGATACAATTTCAATTAGCACATATAAGGAAAAGAAATACATTTTTAAAAAGCGTTGCTACTTGAGTGATCAAACTGAAAAAGAAAATAGTTTAAATTAGTTTGGACCAACATTTTTGAAGCACTTAACTAATGATTCTAGGATTATCTTGCTGATTCAAATTACCCTGAAAAATAAGTTACGTAATTAAAATGTAATTATTTTTTTACATTATGAAAACAAAACTTAATTATAAACATTGTTAGTGTTAGTTTTCAAAATTTTTACAATTCACAGCAAGCATTTTTTCAGTAACAACTTATAAAAACACTAATGTTAAAAAAATAAAGTTAATTTGTATACTACAAATGAAAGAAGTACTCTGTAACTCTTGATTAGCAATTATTCAGTAAGAAAAACAAGATTCTTACAAAGCAAGTCAACAACCAGTGATTCTGCCAGATGACAGATTCTCAGCATTATCCTAATCATCTGCCCCGTGCGGCGTCAATTCGGCCAATGACGAAACGGCCCCGTTAAAACGGCCCCGTCAAAACGACCCCGTCAAATCGGCCCCGTCAAAAGGGCCAGCGACATATGGACCCCGTCATATAGGCTCCCGACAAATAGGCACCCGTCATTTAGGCTACCGACAAATAGGCTCCCGTTATATAGGCTCCCGACAAAAGGGCTCCAGTCAATAAGGCTCCTGACAAATAGGCTCCCGTCATTTTGGCTCCCGACATATAGTCTCCCGTCATTTAGTTTTTTCCACAAAACGGCCCCCGTCATTACGACTCCCGACAAATAGGCTCCCGCCATTTAGTTTCTCCACAAAACGGCCCCCGTCATTACGACTCCCGACAAATAGGCTCCCGCCATTTAGTTTCTCCACAAAACGGCCCACGTCATTACGACTCCCGACAAATAGGCTAGCGTCATTTTGGCTCCCGACAAAAAGGCTCCTGTCAATTTGGCTCCAGACAAAAGGACCACTGACACAGTGGCGTAGCTACCGTAAAGCTAGCGTAAGCAAGGCATGGGGGCCCAAGGCACATAGGGGCCCTTTTCCCTCATAAAAAATTAAAACTTTTACAATGGAATTTTAATATTTGTTACATATAAATAATTTTAAAAAAGAAAAAGGTTAAAAGTTCCAAAAAGCCCCCCCCCCACCGTTTCGGCAGTGGGATTCAGTGTTTGTGGGTCAAACAGAGCCCAATCGTTATAATAACACTACAGGCTATATCACTTTGTCTCGCAAGACATTGAGAGAATCAGCCTATAAATAAACTTTTTAGCAGTAGTAGGCAAGCATAATAATATAGTATAAATACATAATCAGGACATATAAAATACAAAATGTTGCCTTCAGAATATTTATATATTAAAAAATATCCATCGTAAGTAGAAGTTGATCTCTTCGTTTAACTCCTCTGTAGCCTAACGCAGAGGCGTAGCGAAGGCGAGGCGGGGGGTGCGGTCCGCAACGGGTGACACCATTTAGGGGGGGGGGGTG